AAATATCAGTCTTCAAAGATGTCATATTAATACAGTTATGTCTAAGGTAGACTTCTGTGTTGATGTATGTTTGATCAATTCTAGAAAAGCTACAGTCTCCTCAAATATTATTTCTCCTCCATGCTACCTTTCTAACCCTGAAGTTACTGAAAATTAATCTTTTATTCTCTCAATACGTCTTCCCAATTCTAAACTCATTTTCCATATTATTGTCCTCTACGTAGGTTTTTCACATTTATGTTCCAATTTTTGAATTCTTTCTTTAGTTGAGTCTAACTCATTATTTTATTCACTAGTTTAATTAAAAACCAAATCAGTGAATTTTGATATAACTTTTTTTTTTTTTTTTTTTGGTTTTTCGAGACAGAGTTTCTCTGTGTAGCTTTGCGCCTTTCCTGGAACTCACTTGGTAGCCCAAGCTGGCCTCGAACTCACAGAGATCCACCTGGCTCTGCCTCCCGAGTGCTGGGATTAAAGGCGTGCGCCACCACTGCCCGGCTTATTTTTTAAAATTCCAAAGGACAGGGGCAGAGACACATGTCTATAGTTCTCAGCATTTGAGAGGTTAAAGCAGGACAATTGAAAGTAAGTTCAGGGTCAGTCTGGGCTTCAGTCTGAGATCCTGTCTCAAAAAAATAGATCTAAAAATAAGAATTATTCAGACTTTATCCAAATACACCACTTGTCTGAATTTTGTTTCATTTGCTTAATCATTCTTTAATTGTACATATATGTAAATATGCGGGTTTTCCTGACCCAGTGTGTCCATGTTTTCACCTTCCCACCCTTCTCTCTTTCTCGATAGGGTCTCATGTAGCACAGGCTAGCCTCAAACTCAGCAGGTAGCTGACAATGACTTTGAACTGCAGATCCTCCCACCTCTATCTCCCAGGTTGTGGGACTACAGGATGTGCCACCACACAAGCCTCCTTGTGTTTTACCCAAATACAAACTGTTTTCTTACATAAACCCAATAATCAAAATTTTAACAAGTTACTGATATAATGGCAATAGACCGTATTGCAATTTTATCCTTTGTTTGGGGAGGTGTATGTGGTGCAGCTTTGCTGGAGGAAGTACTTTTCTGCAGGCAGTCTTGGACCACTTCCAGTTTGTTCTCTGCTTCGTGACCGTGGTTCAAGATGTGAGCTATCAACTTCCTGCTCCTCCAACCATGCCTGCTGCCTACTGCCATGCTTCCCCACCATGATTCTTATGCCTCTAGACTGATAAGCCAAAATAAACCCTTTCTTCTATACGTTGCTTTTAGTCGTGGTGTTTTATTACAGCAAAAGAAAAGTAACTAACAGAAGTTAGTACTGAGAGTAGGCTGTTGCTTTGAAGAATATGAACATTGCTATTATTATTATTTGGGTCAATGTGGAAGACTTTAGAACCTTGGACTAGAAAAAAATGGTTGAATTCTGTAAGCTGATTTAGCAAGCTGTTCTAGTAGGATCCTGGAAGACAGCAGTACTGAGAGTTACATGGATGGCAAAGGCCCAATTCAAGAGGTTTCAGAGGCAGACAACAATAGCAACTGCACTACAGGCCATTCTTGTGACATTTTGGCAAAGAATCTGGCTGTCTTCTGACATTGATCTGAGAACCTGATGGAATCTAAGTTAAAAAGCAATGGGCTGTCTTAGTTAGGGTTCCTGTTGCTGTGAAGAGACACCATGACCACGGCAACTCTTATAAAGGAAAACATTTAATTGTGGTGGCTCACTTACAGTTCAGAGGTTCAGTCCATTATCATCATGGTGGGACATGGGGGTGTACAGGCAGGAAAGGTAGCTGAGTGTCCACCATCTTGGCTTGCGGGCAACAGGAAGTGATCTGAGTCACTTGGTGGTATCTTGAGCATATATGAGACCTCAAAGCCCACCTCCATGGTGACACACTTCCTCGAACAAGGTCATACTCACTCCAACAAAGCCACACCTCCTAATAGTGCCACTCACTTTGGAAGTCATTTTCTCTTAAACCACCACATGGACCAATTGCTTTGATAGAGAAATTTCAAGATACCATAATACTGAATCTGTGATATGGTTGTTATTAATGACTCTTACACAAGTCTATAGTAAAAAAGAGCAAGTGGGGCAGAAAGAAATAAAACGTGCACAGTTTAAACAAAAGGAGCACCAGAAAACATAATGTTGCAGCCAAGGCTTGTGTTGTGCTACAATTATTGAGAAGATTAGTGCCATTAAGGAGAGTAGTGCTCTGCACTGGGGCAAAGAAGGGTGACCTCAGGACAAGACCCCACTCAGCTAAGCTTCCAATGTGAAAGGTAGCCTAAGGGGTTTTCTGGTCTTAGAAAGCAAATGAATGAAAAAGGTTGCTACTAATTTGGTCAACTGGGGGTGTGAGGGTATGTCCAACCAGAGCTGGAGCCAACCTTGGCAGTGCCATCCAGTGTAGTATGGGCTGTAGAGGCATGTAGGATATCAGAGTGAAGGGAGTGTGGATTCTTCCTCTGCAGTTCCAGAGAGCTGCTAATGCCAGGCAGCACATTGTAGGGGAAGGCCCTGAGTCAAAAATGTGATTCATGTAGGACCTAGTTTTGGAATGTTAGTGATGTTCAAAGATTTTCATTCATATATTAGGAGAGTGCCTCACATCATTACAAAAGGCCACATATTATATTTTGCTCTATTATAACTTGCTGAATTTTATAAACAAGAAAAAATTGTTTAAAATTCTTATCTTTAACTATTTAGAGCAAGTACTAACAATTTATCAACCTTAAAAATGCAAGAAATTATGTAACTCTAAATATCTCCTGTGGGTCAAACTATTTATTAAATGGTTATCTATTACTTACTCTGGCACATCACTTTAATTATTTAAGATTAGCTGAAAGAAATTATTGATTTATAATCAATCCACACAATAAAAATAATTGCATTTGGCATTAGTACCAGTCTGACTAAAAGCCCAGACAAGTGTAATCAAATAGCTAGGCTTTCAAGTCAGGCATCATGGTGCATGCCTGTAACACCAGCACCTGGGAGATGGAGGCAGGAGGACTAGGAGTTTAGGCCAGCCTCAGCAACACAGTGATGTTAGGCTACCTTAGACAGTCATTTCATCAAAGAAAAAAAAAAAAAGAAATAGTACATTTTCATTTCTTTTCAGAACACTCTGACTTTGTAAGAATATCGGCACTAAGAACACTGTCACAGTTAGAAACACTAATGCTATTCTAATTTTCTAACTTTGGAACAGAATTAAGTTAATTCTTTTTTTTTTTTTTTTTTTTTGGTTTTTTTGAGACAGGGTTTCTCTGTGTAGCTTTGCGCCTTTCCTGGAACTCACTTGGTAGCCCAGGCTGGCCTCGAACTCACAGAGATCCGCCTGGCTCTGCCTCCCGAGTGCTGGGATTAAAGGCGTGCGCCACCACCGCCCGGCTAAGTTAATTCTTATAGAAACTGGCTGAATGTCTTTGGCTGAAGCAGCATGATAATACACGTTAATTAGAAAAACGAAGCAAATGCAACTAGGAAATTTATAAGTGAAAAGATGGAAGATGTGGGGATGGGGAAGAGAATCAATGGAAATGTAATAGTAAGAGCTATTACATTTGCCATTAGCAATATGTAAGCACAGATGTGGTGTGAAATTCCTCCTATAGTCTAAAGCGGCTGCTGCTGTCCCCCTCCTCACTTTTAAGTCCGAGCCTTATGTTGGCCTTAAACTCTTGATCTTGGTCCTACCTCCCAAGCTCTGTGGTTACAGGTACCACCACATCTGCCTTAGGATAACTTCTTTTTAAACAGCATCTTTACCATTCACTTAATATTTATTGATCAACTATTTTACTCATAGGATTCAAATCCTGATGTGTTTGAGTCCAAGTGATTTTTCCACTTCAAGTCTAAGAGTCAAGGCTGTAACCTACATAAATTATATTGCCTCTGACTTTAGAACACACAGAGAAAAACAAGAGTACACTTGGCTGGGGAGATTAGCTTAAAGAAATTAGGAGCAGCAATCAGTTGATTCACTTGTTTCTCAAAAGACCTAATGGATGGTAGAGAATTATACTTACCAAGAACTTAATATAGGTAAACTCTAAATCTTAAAAAACAACAAACAAGCCGGGCAGTGGTGGCGCACGTCTTTAATCCCAGCACTCGGGAGGCAGAGCCAGGCCAATCTCTGTGAGTTCGAGGCCAGCCTGGGCTATAGAGTGAGTTCCAGGAAAGGCGCCAACTCTACACAGAGAAACCCTGTCTCGAAAAACCAAAAAAACAAAAAAAAACAAAAAAAAAACAAAAAAAAACAAAAACAAAACAAAAAAACCCTATTTAAATTGGTTATGATGCACACCAAAAAACAAATGATGTTCAAATTATAAAAGCAAGAACCAAGGATTCATCACCCAATTAAGCAACATATCACCAACATGACTGGATACACATGACTCCTCCTTTGCTAGCCCACCGTCTTCCCCCATGAGACAACCATTAGAACGAATTTTATGCTATGTCCCTGCCTTTTCCCATTATAATCTTAGCACACACAACTGTTTATTTTTGCTTGCCCTTAAACTTCAAAGGCTGTATACAGTCTTCCAAAAACTGGTTCCTTCATTCATTATATTTTTAAGATCCTACCCATTCCATTGTCATTGGTTATTTGTTCTTTTCCACTTATTTTAGATTCATTCAGGCCATTCCCCCAATTACTCTTTTAGGAAAGAAAAAAAAAAAGCTTTTTCTTTGTTTTATTCTCAGTATGTTAACCTATCTAAGTTATTTTCAGTTAGACATTGCTCAAATTTAGCCCACAGCTTATAAAATGTTGGGAGGTTTTGGTAAAGTAGGGCTGAAGAGTAGAGGCGGGTTGAGAGAACCAAGCATCCTGGCACTGTCAACAGAGGCACGTTTATAGAAACAGGAAAGGCAAAGTGACTATGGGGCTACGGAGTATACTCCTTCTGCTCACAGAGAGCCCCTCAACACAGCAACATCCAGGGAAGAGATACCTACGGCATGTCGGGACTCTGGGAAGGGCCACCGTTGCTGGGTAGAACCAACTGAGAAACCGCAAACGCGGAAGCGTAAAAAGCCCGCGCAGTGGGGACTGGATGCGGTGTCACACATACAGCGGTCCGCCGGAAACAGCCTCCGCACGATAAATAGCCCGAGTGTATGTGAGGGGAGGGGGGTTCAGGGAGTCCAGGGCCAGAGCCCCACCTAGCCCCTGCCTCTCTCACTATTCTGGACAAAGCAACCTCACAACAGACGAGCAACAGGGCAGTGACTGTACTTTCTTGTCAGTGGTCCGGAGATCTCCGGTCGGACTGTTTGGGAGGTGCTCTGCTTCTTACTTCCGGCGGCGGAGAGGAGCAGTTGCTATGGTAATCTAAAAAAGGCGGAGGTCTGTTCGGCTGCGCTGAGAGATTCGAGGAACTACTCTAAAGAAAATTGGCTGCTCTTCTTGGTTTGTGAGCTGAAATTAGGTAGCAACCGGCACTCTTTCTCTCGCTCTCTCGCTCGCTCTGCCCTCCCTATGTGGCTGCCGCTCCCACCTGCTACGTTTCCTTTTGTGTCCTCCGAATAGCCCAGGCGAGCCCCTGAAACACACAGGAACGCAGCGTTGTGGCCAGAGGAATACAAAACGGAGAGAGCGCGTCTCTGATCAGCTATGACTATTACATGGTGCAGAGACGGTGACTGGATGGCTGTCTGTTTTCACTCGGCCCTTTAGACGCCTTAGGCGCTTGTTAACCGTTTATTTTTTCCTGCTTATTGTGTGTCTGGTTATTTATGGAGCCGTTTGCTACATTGTACTCTCCAGGCCCCTGTCTCAGTCTTGGGCTAGAGTTTTAAATAAAAGGGGGTTTCAGAGCCCTAGGGGTGCAATTATACATTTTTTTAAGCTTCAGTTTAGGCTCTCTTCAAAGGAAGGGAAAGAATAGAATTCTGGAACATTTCTGCCCTGGGATTTCTATGTGAGAATAACCCTATTTGGAAGGAGCATTTGAAGAAGATCCTTAAAAATATGTTTTTAAATTGCTTGCTGTAAAGTGAGTGCCCGTTCTTCCTTACTGGAACAGTTTTCTTTCACATTTGTGAGATGGCATGCACGCATATGTGTTTAAAACTGATGTTTAATTACGGTGATACCAATTTGCAGTAACCAGACTGTGACACCACATCCCTATGGGGTCCTTCTAAATCTGGTGTAATATGAAAGTGTCAGGCAGGCGGTCTGTGTATTATAAATAGGGTACTTCATCCATGATAAGCGATTATTATCTTTCTTTCCCAAGTGTAAAAGACCTACATAATTCAAGAAGGTGCCAGTGATTTAGGCCTCCTGAGTAAGAATCCAATGAGTCCTGAAGGGGACTCTACCTGTGTCATCTTATTGTTCAACTTGAACTATTCAATTTATTAGATTGGAATGTATTTTCAGAAGTCAACGCAGGATAAAGTAATGTTGGAAGCCATTGGACCACCAGCACAATTTAGCACCTCATAGTAGCCTTTGTTCAATAAACCTTCTGAAATTTCACAACTTACTGCTAACTGGGTGACATCTCTGTCCCTCAATTTCATCATCTGTAAAATGGACAAAAAGTACCTGGTCAGTGTAGTCGAGGATGAAATAAGATGTATGATTGTGTATTAATGTTTTATGAGCAGAGGTTCTGTATATACCCCAAATATTACTACTAATAAAGAAACTCAGTAAAGCCTAATGGTAGTAAATGAGACTTCAAATGTTCAGTGATTTGGCATGTGCTGGATTGTAGAAATGTCAGTGAAATGATTTAGTTCATCCTGCTATGGAGGGTGGGTGTCAACTGCAGTTGATTTACATAAAATATCTCATTGTTAGGAAATTTCACTCCATCTACAGTTTCTTTAGCATTTATATGTCCTGTAGTATTCTGTATGCTTTATATTTGTGAACTGATGTAATCTTAGCAACCTTTTGAAGTTTCACATGACCTCTTTTTTTGAGATGATGGGTGTATGCATTTTCTTTGTTCTATTCTTTTGTATTATGCTATATTTTTGTTCTTTGGGATATTATATATTTGAGGAATTACATACATGTGTGTATGTATATAATTAGAAATCAACTGTTAAGAATTTATTCTACTTAACATGTACTGATAAGTTCATATAGATGCCATAACACTTACCTTTTTTATTCTATGTATAAAATCTTCAGTAGACCAGTGCCCCACCTCATGGAGGTACATTTGCTTTTTAGGTGATTTACATGGACCAAAGTCAAATTTTACATTATTTTTCTAATAGAATGGCCAGCAATCCTGGAAGTGATGCAGCTTTGGGTACTCACAAATCAATGCTTTCAGGGAGTCCCCGCACAAAGAAATTTCCACCAACTGAACAGGAGGTATTTTATATGAATTGTCGGGCCGCCTACTTAACCATCTTCAAAAGCAGCTTGGAAAACATTGTTTCTAAGGGTCAACTTTACCTAGGTAAATTTTTTAAAGTTGAATATTTTGCTCTATTTTTTGAAAGTTAATAGACTGAAAGGTCTGAATTAGAATTACATCGTTGAGTCACTCCAGTTTCACAGTGAAACGAGCAGCAGGACTGTGAAAAACAATAGCTGTTTATATAGTTACATGTCCTAGGGACTTCCAAACTAGACATATATAAACGTGTGTGTGTGTGTGTGTGTGTGTGTGTGTGTGTGTGTGTGTGTGTGTGTATAGAGAGAGAGAGAGAGACAGAGAGAGAGAGAGAGAGAGAGAGAGAGAGAGAGAGAGAGAGAGAGAGAGAAGATTGTGTAGTCAAAGCTTCCACCAGTTACTACTTGCTTAAGAGTTGTTACTGTTACTGTTTTTCAGCTGTCTGGTGGTGCTTTAGATTTATAATAATAGAATCAAAACCCTTTTGCCATCTGACTCACTAATCTGAATTTTGACTTACATTAAGGAAAAGATAAAGAATTTGCAAAACTGAGGTCAAATGACTTAAAAGAAAAATATAAATAAATGAAATTTTAGAAGAGAATTAGAAGTTGCGAAGTTTTGTTTCTTATTCTACCCTTTATCATATTTTAACATTCTTTTGGCTGCAAAAGCCTCCCACATCACTGAATGTGATCCTTGCCAGGCTATCAAAGAGCTGGGAGGTCTTGATTCTGGTAGTCTGTAGTCACTGGAGATGGGCAAATGACAACAGCAGGTAATGCTATGACTCACGTCAGTTTCATCAAGCCAAATCTTATTAGCGAGAACTGAGTTTCTTTGCCATCTTTAGAAGTAATTTCCTTAAACAAAATTCTGCTAGGTTTCTGTAGAAATGTCTTAGGTTTTTATACATATGATCTCTTTCTAAGAAAATTCCTTTGGAGGAATGATGAAAATTGACAAGATTAAAATATATTTGCTCTCTAAATAGAAGACACTAATTAAATAGTTTAAGAACAAATGTACATGATGGTAGCAATTTCAAAAATTATGTGTAACTTTGACTTATATAATTAAAAATTTGTAAACTTGCATCTTGAATTTTAAATACGTGTGTTTAGTTGGCATATATTAAATAGTACAAACAGAAACCCAGTTAATTAAAACTCCACTTTGCTGCCATTGGTGAAATATCTGAGGTTTTTTTTTCTTCTTCTTTTGAAAATAGAAACAGTGGCTGGGAATGGTGGTGGATGCCTTTAATCCCAGCATTCAGGAGGCAGAGGCATATGGATCTCTGTGAGTTCAAGGCCAGTCTGATCTACAAAGCGAGTTCCGGGACAGCCAGGACTGTTACACAGAGAAACTCTGTCTCGAAAAAACAAATCAAAACAGAAAAACAGTGAATTTGCTAAATTGAAAAGTTTAACATACCTTCCTATGGTATAGTTCTTGAACTATTAATCAATTAATATGTATTAATAAGACACTGTCAGCCCTGTGAAATTATCTGGGTAGAAAACAAACCTGTTTTTGCATCTCCAGTGTTACACATGGATTTGGTTTAAGGTGGAATATATTCTTTGTAGCACTGTTGGGCTAAAGATAGTTTTTTACAAAGGAATTTGTATATCAGTGACATCTGTTTCTTACCACTCTTTTTCATATATGCTTCTGCCCTTAGCACATAACATATGGTCTGACATTTCCATGCAGAGTCAGACACATCGGGTCCACAGGTATTGCAGATACATGGCAAAGCTTAAGTACACCATAAGCAAAAGATCACAATATAGATGTCAACCTTTAAACATCTGCAGTTAGTAAAGACTTCTCAGATGCAGAGAGGTTTACTTCTGTGTACATATTTTGGCATAATTTTATTTTGAGACAGTTATCCTTTTTAAATCAATAGTTTTAAAGGATCTAGTGATATAGCTTAATGCTAGAGCCCTTGCGCAGGCCTGGAGTTCCATCCTCGGCACTTAAAACAAAAAGAAGATACACCCAGAAGATTCTTAGGTGGTGAATATAGTAGTCAGGCATGAAGGCACAGGCTTATAATCCCAGCACTGAGGAAGCTGAGGCAGGAGGATTATCTTAAGTTTGAGCCAGCTTGGACCATAGTAGAGACTGTATAAAATGGGGGAAAAAAAACTAAAATTTTCTTTGTTATTGAAGATAGTGGCACATGTTTGCTGAGCTGCTGTTTCTAAGAGTTGGTAAGATGGCTTTTCTAAATATTTACCAAAAGAATTTCCTTCCCCAATAGATTTTTAACCTTCAAATTACAATTTAAATTCTACTCTATTCTCCCATTCTAGTCAGTGGAGTTGACTAGGGATAGATTCCTAAATACATATATCATTTCTGTAATTCTGTTGGTAGATGAATTATGGAATTGTTTGTTTATGTAGGAGGCAAATACTTATTCTTTATTCCTAGGGAAGCGTGGGAACCAAGGATTTTTCCGTATCGACAATTTAAAAAAAATGTATGTTCAGTGCTACACATTTCCATAAAGATCTTCTAAGCAGGTAGAAGATGGCAGTTACAGTAGTGAAAACTAGTGTCAGCAGAACCTTGAGGTGGTTCACTGGTTAAGGGCATCTGCTGCCAAACTTGGCGACTGGAGTTGCGTCCCTGGGGCCCGCAACGGGGAAGAAGAAAAAATTAAATTGGCTTCTGACCTCCGTGTAGATTGTGTGTGTGCGCGCACACACACACACACACACACACACAATGTTAAAAAATAAATTCTGTTGGCTGTGTAGATCATCTCCAAGCTTGTCTTCTTGTTTCCCTTCCTGTGTCTATTTCAGTTATCTAAGTACAGTTTGTTGGCATAAACTGAAGGATAGGGAAATGTCTCCTAGTCTTTCAAATGTAAGTCATGACCACAGGTAGCAATATTACACTTAACATGCAGGCTTTACATAGGCCAACGAGACAGCTCAATAGGTAGAGGAGCTTGCCACCAAGCTTGAGGACCTGAGTTCAGTCCCCAGAACCCTCGTGGTGGAAGGATAGAACCAACTATAACAAATTGTCATCTGACCTCCACATTTGCGCCATGGCATGCATGTTCAGGCACACACACAGATGAACATGATGATGATCATAATGCTGATGCACACACGCAAATGATAATAATAATAAATACATAAGATGTAAATATTTTTTAAAGATGTAGAATTTACACTTATATCACAGAACAACTTTGGACCAAAAAAAGCTTTTGTCTCCAAAGAACAAAGTCACCCTTCGTATGATTATGTGCAACTAGTGCCCAATAATTGATTCAAATATTTATATTTATTATGTTGATCTAGTTTCCCTTTCTTGGTGGATATTTCTCTAAACTATTTTGTATTTACTAATCTTCATTACATTAAGTTGTAGAAAATTCAGATAATCATTTTAGTGCTGATTTATGATGCACATATAGTATACATTCCCACCCCCAATAGTTGGAAATTTCCAATATAATATTTTATAATAAAACTTGCTAGCACAATTCAAGACAGATACAGCTTTAGAAATTTAATGATTTCTTCTCTGGTGGTTCAGAAACTTATGGACAGTTATAAAGTAATATGTAGAAGTTCATTTGCAAATTACTACATCACTTGTAGTAAACTGAAGAAGGTGTCTGTAATTGTTTAAAGATATTGTATTTAGTGTTGTGTGACATATACAAATACACAGCCTTTCTGAGATTGTAAGTCCTTCACCGATTACAGTTAAAAATTACTATATTTAGCTAAGTATCTGTGTGTTTGTGTGTGTGTGCACACACGCGTGCATGCACACACATTTATATGCACAGGTGCCTGTGTGGTGCCTCTTTGTGTATGTATGCACATGGCAAAGCATTTAGAGGTCAGAGCACAACTTGGTTCTTTCCACTGTGTGGATCCTGGGGAGAGAACTGAAGTTCTCAGGTTTGATGGCAAATGCTTTCACCTGCTGAGCCATCCCACTAGCCCTGCAAATGGATGCTTTTGTGCACATAGTTGACATTTGGTGCATGCTTGACATTCCGGAGCCCCTACTACCTAGCTCTGGTGAACATTATAGATACTACACCTTGTTGACATTAAAGTTCTCGAACAAATGAGTTCTTCCAGTCAGTGAAATATCTGTTAACCCTGAAAAAAAATCACTTTTGCTTTTTGTGGTTACCCCTGTGGTCTCAAAAAAAAAAATTCAGTCAACCTTGTTTTCTCTAAAAGTTCTTAGATAAACTGGTGGCTCATCCTTGTAATCCCAGAACTTTGGAGGCAGAGTCAGGAAGATCACATCAAGTTCAAGGCCAAACCAGATCTACAAAATGAGTTCCAGGCTGGCCTGGGCTACAGAGTGAGAACCTGCCTCAAAAAATTAAGTTCTTAAGTAAACCAGATAATGACAGTTAAGTAGGTTGAAAACAAAACAGATAGAAGAAGGAATAAACCAGTTCTGCCTCTAATATATTAAGTCTCTTTAGCTGGTAGGCATGTATATTTTTTGCTTTTGATAATGAAGCATATATGGATGTAACTAGCTAGAGAAACATACATTGATGTAACTATGTAGTCAATACCAATGATGATTTGATGAGAGATACTGGATTTGCTTACTAATATATAGGGATTGGAGAAAAAGAATACTCAAATATCAATTCCAAATGTTATAGTAATATGTAATACTTTTTTTTTTTAAATTGGGCAGCTCTTCAGCATGCAGGAAGAAATCCATCCCAAAAGACCATTAATAAGTATTGGACTCCTCAAACTGCCAAACTGAATTTTGATGATTTTTGTATAATTTTAAGCAAGGAAAAACCTACTTCAAAAGCAGAATTGCTAAAATCTTTTAAACAGTTAGATGTAAATGACGATGGCTCTATTCTACACTCTGACCTTCATAAGTATCTAACAAAGGTAAGACCTGCGGGAGTTTTATACTGTGCATGTCTGTAAAGCACCTGGAGTCCAACTTTGGCTACCAAACTCCACATTAAGTATTCTCTCACCGGGGTAAGTGAATGGCATACAGTATTTGTAAAGTGTTTGCAGTCCTTCTCCATGAAAAGTGCTTTATAAAAAAGAGAGAAAGTATGAAGTCGAGCCCATGTTTAGTTTCCCTTCCCCCATGTAATTCTTTCCTGCTCAGAACTCTGAAATCTATGATTTTCATGTGTTCAGTAAAAGGAAAATAAGTATAAATGTGATTTGATATCATTTTGTTTCTTTTTTCTTTTTCGTTTTTCTAGACCAGGTTTCTCTGTACAGCCCTGGCTGTCCTGGAACTCACTCTGTAGACCAGGCTGGCCTTGAACTCAGGGATCCACCTGCCTCGGCCTCCTGAGTGCTGGGATTATAGGTGTGCACCACCACGCTCAGCTCGTTTTATTTTTTGAACACTTTTAGAAGATATTATAACTCTATCTTCAATATCCATTATTACAGACTCTATAACATAAATTGTTAAAATCTTGAAACTGAAATTAAACATATTGTTCACAAAATTTAATAATTTTATGAAATTTTATTTAACATAGTCTCATTATTGCTTAATACTCTCATTCTGACTCATAATGAAACCACATATTCAACTTATTTGTAGAAGAGGTTAAAATATGTTTCCAACTGGGCATTGTAGCCCACTCACACCTTTAATCCCAGTGCTTGAGAGGCAGAGGTAGGCAGCTCTCTGAGTTCCAGGCCAACCTGGTCTACATAGTAAATTCCAGGTCGGCCAGGTCTATATAGTGAAACTGACTCAGAAAAATAAACAACAAAAAATGCATTTCTACCATCACTGTCAATAACAAAGCATTAATTATGTTGTTTTAAAATATGTCTTATTTTATTTTTAGAGAGGTGAGAAGATGACTCAGGAAGAAGTAAATGCTGTAATAAATTTGGCTGATGTGAATGCTGATGGAAAGTTTGACTACATTAAGGTAGATAACCCCTTATTGAAAGAAACATGCATGCTGTGTAGGGAATCATTTTAATTTTCCCCTGTGTTGCTACAATGTAACTGACAAAATGATATATAGTGATAGTGTATGCAAAGATGCTTTTGATATATGCATACATTATGAAATGATTAGACCATATCAGATAAGTGTGTTTGAACTCAGGACCTCATACATGTGAAACACTGTACCGTGAAGCAACTCCAGCCCCTATCCAAATGTTTTTTAAATATTGGTAAGGGCATAGTTATATACTGCATACCCATTGTACTTTTAATTTATCCTCTCAGTCTCATAATTATGATCTGATGATTATATTACAAATAGTGTAGGGCAAGCAAGCATCCCTAATCTGAACATTCAAAATATGAAATGCTCCACAATCTGAAGCTAAGTTCCATGTGGGAGCTCATGTTAAGGCCTGCTAAAAGTATAACTTAAAAAACTTCCTTTGGGCTATTTGTATAAGCAGCACATGAAATAAGTGGATTTCTCAATTAGACTTAGCTACCAAAGATATCCTATTATGTATCTGCACATGCTCCAAAATCTGAAGTCATCCAAAATACTTTTGGTCGAAGCATTTTGAATAAGGGCCACTCAGCCTTTATAACCAAGTTAAAATACATATACGTGCACATACAAGTATACAAGCAAGCATAGAGACTCCCTTCAGAAATGAACATTTTCTAAGGTGAAACAGTCAGAAAAATTATTTAGAACAAATGCAAGTCTATGTGTCTTGTTAAAAAAAATAAATAAATCACCTCTCCTGGTGTACCATTCATTTTCACTCGCAGTGTGACCCCACTGATTGATGGCTGCATTTCACTGGGTCACTTGGGGCTGGCTGGGCAGTCTGGTTCACAGAAAATAACATGAGCAACAAGTAAAGTAAGAAACGCGTTTCATTGACCAGCCTCCTCCTTGCCTACTAATGTGTGTTTACCTCCCTTGCCTCCCAAATGTAGGACTGAACATTTCCCTCCCCAGCTGACAGTTTTCTATTTCCTTTAGTTTTGTAAATTATATATGACAACCAGCGAGCAATGTCTCAAGACCACACTAGAAAGACTGGAGGCTGACAGTAAACTGAGGTGGCAGCAGTTTGGAAGCCATAGCGAAGGGTCCCATGAAAGAGACTCATCTCCAGCGCCAAAACCGTCACCTAGAATCATAAGAAAAAATGACCAGGAAACATTCTCAAGTAAAGGTATTTACTTTCAATACTAAAAATTTCTTGATCAGAAATGGTGGATCATAATTCAAACAAAAATGTCCTTTCATCTCCAGTTATCAATAATAAGGTAAATGAGAATCCAACTATTAGCTACCATTTCTAGACTTTCTTAGCAGTAAAAATCTACTGAAGTAAAATTTTATTATGAAACCTCACTTGGCTATGCTCATTACATTTTATTAAAACTAAAATTTCAGACTAAAAGATGACATATTGAAATAAAGAGTCTTATCTTAGTAGCACATAAATTAAAACCATTAAGGCCTGATCAATATAAAACCTCTGACTGCATTTCAATAGGAAGAACAAAGAGAGTGAAATTAATGCAATGGACTGTATGACACTGTGTTTAGAAACTAACTGCTGCTGACCACTTTTCATGTATAAGACCAAATAACTTACTTTTTACAGGTGACCCAAGCCATTCCTTACTGTCAACAACTAGAAAATTCAAAACATCTGTTTCCTTCACAATTACCATGAGTGCTAATAGTAACCGAGAGTCCAAGTTAACAGAGCCAAACCTAAAGGTACAGTACTTTAAATAAACTTCAGATTATTAGTAATTATTGAGTGTTTACAGGGAACCAATGGAGTCTGTGGACTAATTTGAGTTTTTCCTATAGAACGCAGTATTTCTATTTGTAATATTTTCAATTAGACATTTATTTATGTGGCATGCCGTTGTGCACATGTAGAGGTTGGAGGACAACTTGTGAGAGTTGGCTCTTTCCACCCTATGGGGTGCAGGACGGAATCTGAGCTGTGTGCTTTGCCTGTAGATATCTGTGTCTGCTGAGCTATCTTGCTGGCCTTGGTTATGATATTTTAAAGTAAAAAAAACGAGTAAGAATATTATTACGTATAAGGTCTTTAGTTTGAAAATGGTGACTCTTCAATTTTTGAACTTGATGAATAGATTAATTATCTATATACCTTGGCAAGTAAAATTTTTCATTTGACAAATACCTTCCCTAGGTGTCGCCTAAGTAAATCGTGCATTCAATATCAATTCCTGCGAGAGAAAGACCACAAAGTCACTTTGCTAAGTCAATATTTGTTGAGTGTTAATATTGATCTTCTTCCTTTGTTTTCCCCTTTTAGACTCAACTTTTACTAGTTTTCTTTCTGCAGAAAATAATAGCTGCAGAAATATAAAACATTAACTGGAAACTGCTAGGATACATTAAAAATGTGCACCTGGAGACCTCTGTAAAAGGGGGAAATGGTTATGACCACACACTCTAACTGCTGCTGAGAACGGAACTGATTGTTCTCCAGAGCTGCGTTCTTGTTTCAAATAACAACTCTGTATTTGTTATTGAACTCTGAAGTCCCTTATATCTTTACATTGCTAGACAGTGACATTTGTTCTTTATTAAAATTTTAAAACATCATCCCTAAGGAATTTTGCTCTGACTGTTTAGGAATATATACACCTTAAGCAATTTGGTGTGCATGTCCAGTTTGTTCACACATATTTCATGTTCCAACAATATTATTTTTCACCAATAGAACCTTTTTGTATTTTGTGATTAACTTAAATGTTAAAATATTAGTCTGGTTAATTATGATTTACCTAACTCTAAAGTGTTTAATTTTAGTCATCATGTAGAGATATAAATGTTAATAGATTATATTAAATCATAAGTCTTTCCTTCTGTGCCATTAATACAGTTCCTTTAGTTCAGTCCAACAAACAATTTCTAATTAAGTAATGTGTGTCAATTATTTTGCTTAGTGTAAACTATGGGCCTTGAATTGAAGAAATTTCCATTTGGTTATTCACTGTCATATGCCAAGGTGGTATAGCATAGTATTTCATTGTTATAATGAATATTTATTGATTGGATACCCTGTGAAAAGAGTCTTCTTGGAATTGATAAAGCGCTCAGAATAACACACCTGCGAGTGAATTCTAGCTACTCCCCTAATGATTGCGTAAATGTGGGCAAGTTTAACAACCTCTCTTTTTAATCTGATTTTCATTAACTATGAATTGGGAATAACTTTATTTAATGTATTTTAAAAGATCTAAATTTTTTTTATTTGTTTGTTTGTCTTTTGTTTTTTGAGACAGGGTTTCTCTGTGTAGCCTTAGCTGTCCTGGAGCTAACTCTGTAGACTAGACTGGCCTTGAACTCAAAGAAATCCACTGTCTCTTGAGTGCTGGGATTAAAGGCATGCACCAACCATTGCCTGGCTAAATCTTTTTCAAAGCATTTAGCACAGTACTAGGGACATAGTCACTTGAATAAAAAAAAAAAAGATATTACAGAACTAAGACGTGACTGCATTTCTTTATATGGAAATGGAATGATGAAAGTCTGGTCTAAGAACAGTTATTCTAGTATAGGATTATGAATGGAGATAGGAGAAGGACTTCCCTGAGAGCCTGATAAAGTTATGCATTTGTAGTGATGCTAGATTGGCCCCTAGTAGTTCTTGAGTATGCTAGGAGCAGGAGGGTCTAATGGACAATCCCAGAATTAGCCTGCAGGCCATGGTTATTAAAAAAGAGTCCACTTACATTTTTTATCTAGATGTCAAGAAGGAATGTTGGTGGTGATTGAAAATTAGATTTTAAAAGTACTAAGAAGAATTTAATTATTAAAAGGAGTTGGCATACTGTCAACTTTAGAAAAGTTGTTTACATTTATTTATTATATGTCTGTGCACATGCCCCAGAGTGCATGTGGAGGTCAGAGGACAGCTTGTGGGATTGGTTCTCTCCTTCCTCTGTGTGGATTCCAGGGATTGAAGAGAGGTCATCGGCTTAGTGGAAAACACCTCTACCTGCTGAGCCATCTTGAGAGCCTACCCAACTTTTTAATCCTATAACTTCAGTATAAATATTAATTTCTTTTGGAAATGTTTGCCTTGTGTTTCTCGACCTTCTTTGTTTGCTATCTGGTATTTCTCAGATGAAGTGAGCCAAAATTACTGTTATTTTGACTTTTGAGACAGCCTAGCGAGGCTGGATGCAGATTTACAGTGTAATCAAGGATGATCTTGAACTCGTGATCCTCCTGCTTCTCTCTCCACCCTGCCAGCTGAATACATCACGGGAGAGATGGAGGTTTAGTTCGAGGCTCTCTGTTACTCAGCAGGTATCAGTTCTTTTTGTTGGTGTTTCACTTTGAAGCAATTTTCTTTTTGTAGATGTCATATATATTTGTGCAGTTTCAGAACCATTCTAGTTTTTAGTTATGAAAATGCAAAATAAATTACTAACAAGACAGCTAATTAATCTTCTTCAAGTACTTTAAGACAGTCGGTTTATGTGGAGCAGAGAAGAGTGGGATTGCACAGAAAGTGAGCAGCTTCAGGAATGGGAAATTGTTGCCAGAGTTTCCCCCTGTCCTGTCTGCCCACCTGCCTGCTTGCTCTCCCTTCCTCCCTTCCTTCCCTGCTCTTGTTCACTTTTTTTTTCTTTTTTTGCTTTTTTTGAGACTGGGTTTCTCTGTGTAGTTTTGGAGCCTGTCCTGGATCTCGCTCTGTAGCCCAGGCTGGCCTCAAATTCAGAGATCCGCCTGGCTCTGCCTCCCGAGTGCTGGGATTAAAGGCGTGTGTTCACTTTTTAAAAAGACGTGGTCTTGCTGGGTTTGTCCAGGCTGGACTCTTTCTCACAGGCTCAGTCGTTTTCTTTTAGTCTTCTAGAGTAGCTGCACTACAGGCACCATGCTCAGGAGTCAGATTTGAAATCAGACAGCCACACATTTCTAAAAGATTGAATTGCAGGAGGAAAATAACGATGTTACAGTAACTGTACATACGTGACTTTCTACTGGTCATACTTTGACACTGTATTACTATTCTCTTGTTAATCTTGGATTCTATCTAGTTGGGTTCTGTAATATTCAAGAAATGTCTAGAATTTTCCCTTGAGAGAAGAATAGCTTTAACTTCCTTGCTATAAAGCAGTCACTACTGAAATTAGAGTAGGCCACAAGTCATCAGTGGGAAGCTTCAGAGATGTAACCTGCCTGTAGTCATTCTCCTAACAGGGACTTGCCTAAATATATGTCTACTAAAATGTTTTATATGATATGTAGGACACATACCATACAGCACATACATAGTATACACATATATATCATACAATATCCAGCTATACATATATACAACATGTTTTGTGTGCATAAGCCATGTACATGTGAAGCATACCAACTATTATACACAAGTTTCTCTATAAAATAGTACAAATGTGTAATACAGCTATGTATATAAATATATAATACAAATTGAAAATGGTTCATTCTTAATTATTGCTAAAGCAACAGTCATGTTTCTTTTTAAAAATGTTAATCAATTTAACTTGTCAATTAAGACAATCCGTATCAATTTTCCTTCATAAATCATCTATTTAACCTTTTATTTTTAAGTATTCTTTAGTAACAAAAAAGTAATAACACGTTTTACCTGCTTCTTCAAACAGTGAAAGCAAATAACTTCCTGCAAGAGTGTGACGTAGACTCCCTTGGTAAAGAGTGACGAGGATGACAAGCTCCCATGCTGTCATCTGTGGCAGGGCTGCTTGCTAACTCATGCTTACTTAGATTGCCGATAACACAGAATTCTATGTCAGGACAAGTGTTGACCAGAGCGACCCAGGAAAGATAGAACCTCACTGATAGATTTGTTTTGATCATTGCTTTCTACTTTAAAGCTTGTGATTTGTGTCTTTAGTATTTCCTTAGTTCTTATGAATAAGTGAGATCTGTGTATCACCAGTGAAATAACAGTTGTTTGCATTTATAGGAATATACTTGAATTGGTAGAATCTAGCACCACCTCATGCCCGCTCTAAGAATTACAAGCGGTTTTATTTGTCAAAAGATGTATATTATACATGGAATTTCCTCCTCTATTATTCTAAAAATATTTTAAAATTTTCTCATAAACTCAAAACTGTCAACCTGGTCTGTATTCCATTCAAATTCATTTATTTAAACAATTCAGACAATTTCTTAGTATTTTTTACTTTTAATTCATAGCATGTTAGTCTGGATCCATGACCCCCTCCCCCCCGAAAAAAAATCACAACAAAAACCAAAAACCTTTGTGATTGAAAGTCTTGTTTTAAATAAAATTTCAAGTTGAATAAGCATTATGTATTTAATAAATTTGGTGAACCTTAAGAAACCAATTGTTTCCTTTTAAACATTATTGCTCCAAGGTTTCCTAGCAATATTATTTACTGTTCAGAACAATTCACTGATGTTCATTTGGTGTCAATCATGTGGCACTTGCCTACTTTTGTGTAGCCATTCCTTGCTTTTCCAGTCCTATTAACCTCAGTGTATTATTACAGTATGGAGTTTGGCAGTCTTCCGTAGAAACTTACAAATTCTTTTTCTATTATAGCATTTCCCCCCAGAACTGGAACATGGGAAAGATCTCTAATAAAAATGTTAACCTTCTCAACTAGAGTTTTAAAGCCATTTCCTATCAGCCCTAGGCACTGCCTCCAGAAGAACTGTCTGCCATGGACAACTTCTCTTTAGTTTCCCGAATGTCACAAGTCACATTAACTACCAATATTCTAAACAATGCGCATTAAGGAAAATAAGTTCCTCTAGGGTGGTGAGAAGGCTCAACGGGTAGACGCTTGACAGCTTGAGTTCAGTTCCCAGATCCCAGTGGAAGGAGGGACCAACTCCAAAATACGGAGAGCTGCTTCAGTTAAGCTAAATATTTAAGTTTGTTCTAACCCTCAAGTGTGTAAGTAGTTCAGAATGATAATGCCCCATCAGTGTATCATTTACTATATATGTTTTATGTTATATATTATTGATTTATAATATAAACATGAAATTTCGTTTAAAGCTCACTTTAGAAAATCATGGTAGTCTTGTTGGTGTGTTTTATTTTTGAGAAAGGGTCTCACTGTGTAGCCCTGACTGGCCTGGAACTCTGTGTACTCCAAAGTGGCCTCAAACTTGCTGCCATATTCCTGTTTCTGCCTCCCAAGTGCTGGGATTATAAACAAAGCCGCCATGCCCAGCAGTCTTGGCAAAGTAGAGCAGAACTCAGAATACAACTGGTAGACTGTAGAGAAAAGCTTCTGAAGTCATTGAGAAATGTGGGATCATGCTTACCATGTTTTTTTTCGGACTTTCCTTATCTACCAAAATGGATGTCCTTGATTACCTTTAGACCCTCTCTATCTTTGAAATGAACTGACGTCTTTGATGTAAAAATCCAAAATCTAAAATTCTCCCAAACCCCCCAAATTGTAAACAGTAACATGATGCCACGAGTATAAACCTCCACAACTGCCCTTCATTTGATGGCTGCACTTCAACATTAGGCATGTGCTGCATAAAACATGCTTAAGAAATGGGTTAGACCTGGGGCTATTCCAAAGATGTCATGTTATGTATAAGATGCCATGTTCCAAAACCTGAAGAAAAAAGCAAAATCTAAAACACTTCTGGTTCCCAAGATTTAGATAAAGACACCCAATGTATACTTGTAATTTTGAATTGTCCTTTACCATTTCAGATGGGTAAATTTAAAATATGTGTTCCTAAGAAGTATCTGATAAATTGAATCTGCTAATACTGTAATCAAAAATGATTGAGAGGAAAACATTTTATGTCAGAATCACAACTCAAACTTTCTCAAAGGATAACTTATCTAAATACTCTATGTTTATATTTCCTCTCTTGCCCTTACAAGCCGTTGCCATCTCAAATCATGTTTGCTATGTTAAGGACAATTTGTTCTGAGCCCTGCATCTGTTGTGAGCCCATATGTGTCCTATCTAAGAGATTTACAGGGAAGCTAAATGACTGTCTGGGTGTATGCTTTTCATTAATAGTTGAACTTTTGACTTAAGCCCAAGTTTGAACTTCATGATGCTAAAGCTAAGAAAAGGTACTTTTCACATTGTCCCATAGGGTTATTGAAATATCACATGCAATAACTTGTTTCCGTCTTTGATGATATACTCATTAAGTCCAATAATTTAAGGTCACATATTAATTTCTTAGGATAAAAATACTAGTATCTTCCGTGCCATATGGTGTGACTGTACATATAATTAATGACTGACTGAAAGCTTGAATGGTAGTTCAGTAGTGATAAGATCTTGAAAATCAGTTTAAAAAGGCATCCATAAAAAATACTAGACAGGTATGGTGGTCTATGCCTCTAATATCAGCACTTAAGGGACTGAGGCAGAAGGATTGCTGCAAGTTTAAGGTTAGTGTTGGCTATAAAGTGAGGTGCTGAACTTAAAAAGGAGGATTTACATCAATTAAGAAATAGCAAATTTAAAATAAAAACCACATGCATCAGTGCTTACAAAGGGTGTTAGTATCTAAAATAACTTACTAAAATATTATAAGAACCTGCCTCATCTGCAATATGAGTATGGAACGAGAAGATAAATAGGCAATTCACAAGAAAGAAACAAAAATTAATAAATACAGAGCAAAATGTTAATCTCTGAAAGTATAAGCAGAAATTCTAATTAATTTAGAATGCAAAAGTTATTAAAATCCCATTTTCTTGCTGTCGTTACATTTGGTGCATAAAATAAACATAATATTATACAGTGTTTTATGTACCCATACCTTAATTAGGAAATCATTCCTCACAGCCCCATTTTTTTCATGATAACATAGTTTGACCAAGTTTTATTATAAAGTTATTACATTTTATACCATCGTGGTCATTTGAAAATAGTATCACTGACTTGTAATATGGGAATGCATATTAGTAGATCTAAAATCCTAGTTTTTCTCTAAGGTTATTTTTAGGGAAATCATTTTTTAGGAGAAACTTTTAGACAAAATGGTATTCATGTTAAGATTATCTGTGCTGGTGAGAAATTGGAAGTGAGCTAAATGTCTAACACCTTGTTCTTTTTCAATAGTAAAATATTTTTGATGTAAGATTAAATTTTAGAAACCCAAAGAAAATGGTGTTTATTAGAATATAAAACTTGATTTTTATAAAGGTTTGTGTTAGAAAGGATTATATTACAATCATAATATGATAGAATTATAGGGATTTTCAATAAAAGAATTATAGGGATTTTCTTATTTTAAAATTTTATATTAAATGTATAAATATATTTAAAATGATTATCTTATATAATAAAAATGTTATATAAGTATGTACTAGGACAATTTTGCCTTTAAGAGAAGTAAGAAGCTGGGTGAGGTGGTACATGCCTTTTGCCTTAGTCCCAGCACTTAGAGGCAGAGTCAGGCAGATGTCTGTGAGTTCAAGGCCACCCTGGTCTACACAGTGGTTTTTAGGTTAATTGGAGCTAAAAAAGAAAAAAATGAGAATGAGAAATTATTCTTGATATATATAATTTTTAGTCTTGCTTCTTCATAAGTATATAGTACATACTGTGATGTTATTGTTATAGGACTAATGCATGTCTTTTGAATAGCTATCAATACTATTAAGTCCTTGAAGTTAGTGTCTAAATATCCTTACAGATAAGTAGTAGAATTTCCTGATAAAGTCATTCAGTCCTCATTAGTACTCTATTTTTGGAGATGATTAGGACCAGTACAGAAATATGTCTTCTGTTGTGGTAGGCAAGTTCACTGATGATAAAGTGAAAAGCATTTTCCACACATCTATGGTAATGATAATTTCAGTCAACAGTCTTTTACTACCTGCCCAACATGCTGTTTTCAAATTTTACTTCCTTCTGTGATGTGATGGGATTTGGCTAGCTGACAGTTTTACCAGTCCCCCTCTCCTTTTATTTTATCATTATTATTATTTTTTTAAGGTAAGCCTTTAAGGTAGCCCAGACAGGTCTCAGACTTCCTTCTGTTTTAGCCTGAGAGGTGGTATTATAAGGGAGTACTACAGCCCCACTTTCTTGGTGTATTTTTAGTAGCTGTAAAGCTCTTATTTATAAACTTGTATTTTTGCTTACTAAAACTTGAAATCATTATTTGGGTTGTTCTGTAATTAATCTTTAAATAGAGAATCTTGCTTCTTTTCCTTTTGTATTTTAGCTTTAGTAATCCTTACTTCTTCATTCTTATTATGCTCTCAACACTAACGTCACCTGGATTGTGACAGTTGTGTAGGGTGTATTTTCTATCAGTATTTATGTGAACTTAAGTAAATTATTTTTGTGGTGTGTTTTTGTAACTTTTTATTCTCTAAATAATGTTGACCAGGGCTGGAGAGATGGCTCAGCAGTTCAGAGCACATACTGCTCTTGCAGAGGACCCAGGTTTAGTTCCCTCACTCCTATCAGGCCTCTTACAATTGACCGCAGCTCCAGCTCCAGGGTATCTGACACCTTCTTCTTGTCTTCACAGGCGCTGGACTAGTTTGCGTTGACACCTCCCCCCCCCCCCCCCCCCCCCGCCGCCACACACACACACACACACACACACACACACACACACACACACACACACACACACGTTTTTAAGAAATAAACATGAATCTTTCAAAAATTAGAAAATAAAAAAAGTGGCGATTGTCACCCACTCAGTTTGTATCAGTCCCTTCCATCAATCACACATAAATATTTATTGAGCAACTACAGTATTCTAGGCACTACTTTTGGAACTGGGATTACAGTGATTTCACACATATAATTCTCTTTTTAACCTAACCACATCACACGCACACACACACACACACACACACACACACACACACACACACACACCCTGACAATTGGGATTGATCTATTTTATGTCTGCACTTTCTCTCCTACGATTGCACACCCCCAGTGGGCAATAGGTATATTTGACATTTCTTTAGGGTCGTCTTTCCGTTTCTCCTCATTACTGTGCATGCTGAAGCATTTAACCAATATTGTTTGGAAATGTTTCCCTTCATTTCAGGACTGGCAGTGTGCACAATCAAAAGGCTGTTTCTTTTTAGAAGAAGATGGTGAAGTCGTTAGTCATCAGTACAAGATGCACATAGCTCAAAGATCTGTGCTTTATCTAACAATTAAGCCATTAAATCTGAGTCAAACTGAAGGCAAGTTTAAAATTTATATTCATTTATTTATTATTTTATTCATTTATTTATTTGAGACAGGGTCTCACTGTGTAGCTCTGGCTGTTCTGAAACTTACAATAGAGACCAGGCTGGCCTTGAACTCACAGAGATCTGCCTGGGAGTAAAGGCTACTTTACTCAGTTATGTTTATTTTTAAAATACCAATTTATATTCTCTCTGAAAATACTTTGTATTTCCTAGCCCTAGTTAAGAAAATAATCTGCCCAAGAAATGTATGGTTTTATTTAGTTTTAAATTTTTTCAATGTGTTCATTCTTCATATATGATGTTTAGTTACATGAGTACATTTTGATGCAAATATACTATACATTGAATAAATCTGCCCAAATCATTACACTTTGAGCTTTATCTCAGCAGAGGATTTTAAATAGGGACAGTGTGTGACCTGACCCATCTAAGCATGTACATAACCTGACCGTCTAAGGTATAGATGGTTTCTCCTTCCTGTGGCCTCCCAGGAGAGTGAAGTGCTGGATCCCATCTCTTCCTGAAAGGCTCTGCTCTCGCTTAGATTGTGGCGTGGTTGTCCTGCACCCCAACTCTTGTTTCTCATCGTTCTTTGTTTGGTTTTGGTGAGGATGAGCACACTGGGGATCAAACCCAGGGCCTCATGCGTGCTAGGCAAGAGCGTGGGTGCATGTCCAGCCACTGGAACACGGCTTTTTGATGATTTCAAGAGACTAGGCTTTTTGGAGACTGAGTATGGAGAGAGTCTTTCATAAAATTAAATAGAGTCGTGGCATATTATAGATATTAAGATATTTGTATATAAAAATGGAGTGTATATTTCTTTTTAAAAATCTACTGGGTAAAGTACTTAAGAGTGTGCAGTGATGGATTGATCTGAGGTGGGCTTTGTTGGTGATGTTGTTGTTGTGTGTTTCTAGGAAAACGTTCCCCTTGGTTATCAGTTGATACGGCCTTATATGTTCTTAAAGAAAATGAGGATCGAGCAGAGCCACAGCTCATGTGTTTCACTGAACTACAAAATAGAGAAGTATACATATTTTCTAATGTTTAAGAGTGTAATATGAAGCCAAGTTGAAGAAAATAATAGCTTTTCACTAGTCTTTTAAACTCGAATGTTCTCTAGTCTAGTGACGGTATAGGCAGTTCCTAATCATTATGCTATTATATATGTTTTATTAACTGTGAAAGACTTTCTCTTATATTCTGAGACTTTTTTAGGGGTTGATGAGTGTCAGCCTTGGCTCCATAACTAAGTGCTCTGATCTATCTCATGAAAATATTTTTTGTTGTTACACTCAATAAAGAGAGTGATGTCATTAGAGTCTTCCTACCCTCCAAATACATGACCCCAGCTACAGGAAAGTTTGCTTCTAATGTCTGTCTTACTTGCACTATGACTGCAAAACAGGAACTCTCCCAAATTACTATCCTCAGGCTTGACTCATTTTGTAAGGTTCAGAAATAGTCTGATGGAAAGAAATGCTTTTAAATGTTTTTATGTGTTGCCTTTAAGGTTGTTCTGGTCTTTTCTAATTATGTATTTACTCAGAGGCCAAATATGTGAGCAGATACACATGTGGGGCTGTTTATTTTATGAGAACTACAAATACAACCTACTACACAGCAACAGGAATAATACTATTCAAGGACTTACTGCAGAATCATATTTAATCTTTATATTGGCTCAATGACAGACAAATCTTTCTCTATGGGATGTTATATAGAAGTCTTTATTGGCGGCTTCCTAACAGACAAGAGTAGTTCCTGGCCAGAACCACATAAAATGGCAGAAGTTAACCTTTTTACTAAGCTCTTCTTCAGAGCTGACTGTGAGGTGAAGTTAGAGATAAAGCAATGTCGGAAACGATAGCTTTTCCCATTTGGTTTTGGGTAAAATGACTTTCTTATGAGATTGCATGTGTAAAAACAGTCACAGCAAGGCTATGTTTAAACTGAGTTTCTGTGTTACCTCTTTATAGGCTTCTGTTGATCTGTTATATGTCATATTTTCAAAGGATTTTTACTAGTATTTTTAGCTTCACAATTATTTTCTTTAAGAAGAGTTTGGTATCCGTGAAAAACTTCCAAGTCGCCATCTATAGTGGCACTTCACAGTTATATGTGGGGAATAAAGGAAGTGCATGGGGTGACATCTACTAAGAAGTAGCAAGATATTTTTAACTCCTGTATGTCAGCCTATATATGGTCAGTCTAAGCAATTATCATTTCCAAAGCATGGATTTGGTAGTTTAGCCTTCACAATGATCCTCAGCTACATTGAATTTTTTCTTCTGCTAAAATAAGGCTTGGTGATAATCTCAGGGTGATTGTGGTCCTTGGATAATCAGGCAAAAAGAATCTAGAACTCAGATGACCAACTTATTTTCTTTATGAACCTCCAGGATGACCGAAAATAGGTTTTGAAGAGACTATTTGAGCACAATACCTGATGGAATTTGGGGGCTAGTCTATACTGTAGCACAAGTAACTGAACTAAGCTGTCATACACAATGATTGAACATGTACAGTTAGGATAGTCAAAAGGTGGTCCTTGTTTTTTATAAGAAATGTTTAGGCTCCAGAAAGCTCCTAGGAGGTACGAGGAGGGATACCATTTACTTTCACTATAGAACAGGCAGATAAAATATTTTCCTATATAAATGTCTTGATATTCATTATAAATATCCAACATTTATTAGGAAACAGTTTTAGATAAGCATGTCTGTCTAGGACTCTACATCTTGTTTTATAGTCCACGTCACCTAGTGATCTTCACAATCCACCTAAAAGTATTTTGCCAAAAAAAATGTAAGGAAAATCCACAAAGATCAGTACCTTTCACACACACACACACACACACACACACACACACACACACACACCAAAGAGAGAGAGAAAGGGAGAGAGACTTAAAGAGTCAAACTTACAGAAGCAAAGATGTATTCTATTGTATGATTTCCCTGAGCTACCAACACTGGGAGTCAGAGGCAGGAGGTCTACAAATTCAAGGCCAGCCTCGGCTTCATAACATGTTCAAGGCCAATATGAACTAGGCCTTTGGAGACTGAGTATGGAGAGACTCTTTCATAAAGTTAAATAGAGTCGTAGCATATGAAAAAATAAAAAAAAAACCACATGAGTTCCTGGCTCAAAAAACAAAAATAAACAACAGCAGAAAAGAGAGTAACATTGTAATCCATATAATTCAGCTTTCAGAAATATGTTTAACTCATGTAAATGGTGAACTTAAAAATATATTGAACTTTCTTTAATGTCATTGAAATGTTATTTACAAATCATACATTCTTATTTCAATCATAGTAGTAGGAAATCTTTACTACTTTTTTTTTTAAGGAACTTAGTGTTTGTATTTTAAAAAATTCTAAAATTACTCTCTGCTTCCTGCTGAAGGCATTTGTGTGATAAATACTTTGGAAGATCTTTGGGGATGACTTAGATGATATATAGCTTCTTCTCTCTTTTTTTTTTTTGCTTTTAGGTAGTTTTGAAAACGTAAAGGACCATAGCCTGTGGTCTTGTAGTAGGGCTACCCCAAAGGAAAATAACTTAAAACCAGTAAAAGGTTAATAAGCTATAACTAAATATTGATTTAAAACAAATGATGTCTCAAGTTTCTCCTTCAGAAGAAAGATTTAAAGTCATTAAAACTTTTGGTTGTTCATTTTATTTAATTCTTCTTCTGATAAAAAGGTGTTTGGATGGACTGGTGAACTAAGACCAGGAATTTACTGGTTAATTCCTTCCACAACTGGCTGTAGGCTAAAAAAGGAAATAAAACCAGTAACAGAAGAAGCCCAACTTGTATATAGAGATGAAACAGGGGAATTATTTCTCACAAGTGAATTTCGGTAAGTTTTGTTTATCAGTGACCTGTCTCTTTCCATTTCCAGTTGCCAGCTCCCACCCCATCTTTCTGTGGCCAGCTCCCACCCCATCTTTCTGTGGCCAGCTCCCACCCCATCTTTCTGTGGCCAGCTCCCACCCCATCTTTCTGTGGCCAGCTCCCACCCCATCTTTCTGTGGCCAGCTCCCACTCTTATCTTTCTGTGGCCAGCTCCCACCCCATCTTTCTATGACCAACTCCCACCCCATCTTTCTGTGGCCAGCTCCCACCCCATCTTTCTGTGGCCAGCTCCCACCCCATCTTTCTGTGGCCAGCTTCCACTCCATCTTTCTGCTTCAACTGAATCTCTTACCGTAGCATGATGGGCAGTGTGCTTAAAAACATCAAAGAGGCACAAAAAAATCAGTACCTCATGATTTCACTTATATGTGGTATCTAAAAAGTAAAGTTTATAGAAGCAGAGAGCAGAATGGTGATTACCAAGGATTGGTGGTGTGAGGAAATTGGGAGAAATGTTGTTTAAAAGATAAAAAAATTTGCCAGGCGGTGGTGGCGCATGCCTTTAATCCCAGCAGAGGCAGGCGGATCTCTGTGAGTTCGAGGCCAGCCTGGTCTACAGAGCGAGATCCAGGAAAGGCACAAAGCTACACAGAGAAACCCTGTCTCGAAAAACCAAAAAAAAACCCAAAAAAACAAAAAAAAACACAGAAAATTTGAGTTAGACAGGAAGAATAAATTCAGTTATCTGTTGTATAATATGGTGACTAGACTATAGCTAATATCAATTTATTATATTTAGATATAAGTAAATCTGTATCTTAGGAGTAGATATTAAGTGTTCTCACCATAGAAATTAATATGTGAGATAATAGATATGTTATTTAGCTTGATTTACTCACTCTGCAGTGTATATATATATACCAAAAGCATGCTATGTGTAACAAATATATATTTTTTAATTAATTAAGTAACCAAGAGTGACTTTATGTCGACAAGTGTAGGATTGTCATTAATTTGTAGGTTCTATGCACTTTGCCATACTTCATGTACATCTCTACCAGTGTCTTCTCCACTAGACATTGCCTTTAACGGCAGATCCTGTTAGTTGCACTCTTGATAACTGTCAAAATCTGAAGTCTAAACCTTCATAGGTTGGTCTCCTATGACCTAGATATTCACAATGAGATTTGACCACAGACAGATAAAATGTATTTGGATATAATATAACTTAGAAAAAAATCTTAAATGCCATTAATATATTTCCTTTGAAACTTGTCCTCAAAAACTGTTTTTACAAGCTAGAGAGACTGCTCAGTGGCTAAGAACACTGGGTGCTCTTCTACCTGGGTTCAATTCCTACCACCCATGTGGTGGTTCACACCCATCTGTGCGCCCTCTTCTGGCCTCTGCAGACACCAAGCATGCACATGGTGCATAGACATACATGCAGGCAAAACACACACATTAAAAAAAAAATCCTTCTTCATACTTTTTCTTTTAAAAATAATATTTTCTATTTTTATAATTTTAGGTCAACTTTATCAGAGATATTTGAAATAATTGATTTAGATGGAAATGGTCTTATTAGCCTCGAAGAGTACAATTTTTTTGAATTGAGAACAAGTGGTGAGAAGTGTGATGAGGATGCTTGGGCTGTCTGCAGAGGTAAGTGCTTTATTTTTCTTAATGGATGCTTAGAAAAATATGTGGCTGCTGTGGGATGTCATTCTGTATGCTGTGAATATGTGTTGCTCTGATTGGTTGATAAATAAATTGCTGATTGGCCAGTAGCCAGGCAGGAAGTATAGGTAGAGCAAGCAGACAAGGAGAATTCTGGGAAGAGGAAAGTGGAGTCAGGAGTCACCAGCAAGACACAGAGGAAGCAAGATGTCAAGGCAGAACCGAGAAAAGGTACCAAGCCACATGGCTAAACATAGATAAGAATTATGGGTTAATTTAAGTGTAAGAGCTAGTCAGTAATAAGCTTGAGCTAATGGCCAAGTAGTTATAATTAATATAAGCTTCTGAGTGATTATTTTATAAGCAGGCCATAGGACTGCAGCGGCCTGGTGGGATAGGAGAAACCTTCCAACTACATATGGCATCCCCTTAATCTTGGAAATAATAAGCCAGACTTCTCCAAGGAATATTATTTTAACATTTAGGATAGTGGGGGGAAAAAGCTAAACGTGGGGTTGGAGAGGTGGCGTGGTGGTTAAAAGAACTTACTGCTCTTGCCAAGGGCCAGCTTGCTTAGGTCCCAGCACCCACATCAGGCAGCTCCCAACCACCTATTACTCCAGTTCCAAGCCATTCTATACCCTTAGCCGGCCTTCACAGGCATCTTACTCACATGGTGCACATAAACTCATACAGGCATACACATGTGCGCATAAATTTTTTAGAAAAGTAAATCTCTCTTTTTTAACAGAAGCATTTATTTTCCTTATAGTGATAGTTGGTATACTTGCTAAAAGATATGAATTACTTAATGATCATTTCAACTTTTGGGGGCTTGAAATGTATTTTTAAAAACTCTTTTAAAATCATTGATTTATTTGCCAATTTCATGCATGAATACAAGGTTTCTTCCAGTGTGTCTCCTCCCACCCTCATATCCTGTCTTCCTATTCCTCCTCCTCCTTTCTACCTTCTGCTCCTCCTCTCCCTTCCTCCTCTTCCTCCTCTTCTTCTTCTCACACACTGAGTCCAGTTACTACTGCCTGCTGGAATAGTAACTGATGGTATTGGGTTGATCATGTGAAGGTGCGCATGTGCAGTGAGTTCATGAGAGTGAGAGCCGTGTGTCCAGAAGACAGCACTCGTCCCCATCCTCCTGCCCTTACCTTCTTCTGTCCCTTCTTTCACTTGGGCCCTGGGCCTCGGGTGGGGATGTTCCCTGAGCACGCTGTAGTCACTTCTGTGCTGGGAGGTCCCTTTAAGAACTCGACTCACTTAGGAGTCTCTATATTAAGTACTGTCTACTAGAGAAAAAGCTTCTCCACCAGGGTGAAGAACAACACTTATCTATGGGTATAAATACAGATATTATGGAAGCAGTTTTGACAACATGTCCATTTACTAAAACAACAGTAGCAGGTTCTTTGCTAGAGACTATGGCTTTACCTTCTAAGCCATGGCTTTTGACAAGTTTATAGTAGAGGGTAAATTCACTCCTGTGGAACAGGCTGCAGGTCCAGTTGTAGTGTTGGTTACTCCTATAACATTCATGCCACTTTGGCACCTGTGGCACATCTTGCCTGGCAGGTTAGTATTACAGCATTCAGTGGTACTGCTGGGAAAGACATTGATAATTTTTTTTTCTCCTAATAACCTGTATAGTACATTCTGGCACTGTGTAGGCTAGCCAGCAGGGAACAATTTTCCAAGTCCATTCCAAATTGATGTCTTTATATCCTACAATCAAAATACATTGTGTCTTCAGAAATAGGGTCTTTATTTAGTTATGTAGACAACAAATGGCAATGGTGTCTTAGTTACTTTTCTATTGCTGTGATAAGATACCATGACCAAAGCAACTTAGAAAAGCATGGTGGCTCATGGTTCCAGAAGGTTAGAGTCCATGACCATCATGGCAGGGAGCATGGCAGCAGACAAGTAGGCATGGCTCTGTAGCAGTATCTGGGAGCTTATATCTCAATCCACAAGCATGGGGCAGGGGGCAGGGGATGGGACAGGGGGCTGGGGATTGTGTGGGCTTTTGAAACCTCAAAGCCCACCCGCAGTGACATATCTCATTTAACAAAGCCACATTTCCTGATTCTTTCTGAACAGTTCCACCAATTGGGGACCAAGTATTCAAACATGAGCCTCTGGGGGCCATTCTCATTCAAACCACCATAAATGTCAATAGCCCATGTTATTTTAGGGGCCTTTAGCGCTTCCCTGACCAATAACTCATAAGGAGGTGTCTAACACCTAGCACTGAGTTTTCCATTTAATAACCCATGTCTTCTGGGAAGAACATTGTCCACCCATGCAGACTTTCTGTATTCAAACTCCTTTTAAAGAAAGGAGACTACTTTTCCAGCACTGGTTATCACTGAGCCACACACTGGTTCTAAAAAAGACAACAAAGAGTTAATAAGTTAGTTTCACTACAAAAATTAAGAGGTTTCCAGAAAGTTATTTATACATGTTAAGAATTTTTAGCTGGGCATGGTGGCATACACCTTTAATCCCAGCACTTGGGAGGTAGAAGTAGGAGGATCTCTGTGAGTTTGAAGCCAGCTTGGTCTACATAATGAGTTCCAGGACAGAAAGGCTACATAGAGAGACCTTATAAAACAACAACAACAACAAAAAAGAATTCTTTAATTTTTAAAAATCTGTTCTCGGTTAGGGAAGCCAAGAACACCACAGCAGAACATCATTGCATATGAGGTGAAGCCAGTTGTCACTTTGAGGCTTCGGAGGTTAGAGTAGGGTTTGTGTGTTTAAGCCAAAGCTGAAGGTCAAAGGGAAAGTCTTAAAAGTCCTAGTCAACTGAACAGGAAATGTGTCAGGAGAGAGAGGAACTACCCACCACTGCAGGAGTACTGCATGTTTCCTAGGATGGTGTAAGTGTGTAAAGGAAGTAAGCGAGGCAAGAATCTGATTAATCTGTTTCTCCAAACAGCAAGGAGGGTAAAATAGGATACTACTATAAAGATTTCTCATTTCTTTTTATAAATAAGTTGTTGTTTAATATTAAAATCCATTAAGTTTGATGATTTACACAGTATAGCTTTATCTATCAGATATAATTGTATTGTAACTTTAATGATAAAACTTTTCAGTTTATTGTCACTAGTCCATTTCATGGAAGTGAATCATAGTTACGATTTTGCTTTATATTCCGTCTTTATGAGTGTGTTTGTGTGGTGTGTGCAGATCCATGCCTGTGCATGCACATGGAAAGGTCAGAGGGGGCTGTCGGGTGTCCTTTTCTATCACTCTTCATTTTACTGCATTAGAACAGGGTCTCTCAATGAGCTCGGAGGTAGACTGGAAATGATAAAGCCAGCAGTCCTCCTGTGGGCTGTCAGTCCCTAGCACTGGGCTTACAGGCATGCACATAGGCACATTCAGATTTTTTTATGTGGGTACTGGGGTCCAAATTCACCATTTTCATGCAAACATTCTTACCCATTAAACCATCTTCCTAGCCCCTAATTAAGATTTTCTTATGGCAAAAATTATCAGTAAAGTTTTATTTAATTAAATTAGTGAGGTTGAGAGCGCATCATCTACCAGATGCTAATGTAAGCACATCTGTGTATAAGCTTTGTGAGGTAGCCCTGGAACTGCTCTCATTTTACACATGAGGACGTAGAGCCAAAGAGATTAAGTAGCTTGACCAGGGTCAGTAAAGCAAGACAGTTGTATAACTAGGCTTCAGACCCAGACAAGCAAGTTTCAGAGTCCCAACTTCATGCTATCAAATGTTTTGGAAAATTATTGCACTGAAAATGATTTGGAGGGCATATCTGCTTCAGTGGCAGCCATAATACAGCAGGATATATGTAATTTTTAGGTTCTGAAATGTCTACCTTTCTCATCATAGTCAATATTTACTCATACCTATTGATGATAAAAATACATTGTTTAGCTATAAGATCATCTCAACGTGCTTTTTTTTACTTAGAATACTTTTGTCTTTTTTGTTTATTAATAGATTTGCTTTTTAAAAGCGGTTCTAGATCTATAGAAAAACTGAGTGGCTCCTGGGATCCATCTTTTCTGGTCCATGCCCACCTAGTTCTGCAAATTATTAACAATGTCAGTTAGCGTAATACATTTATTATAATTTGTGAGTTGATCTTACTACATTATTTGCTATTGTTAAAGTTCACTTAAGTTGTATAGTTGCACGGGTTTTGACAACTGTTCAGTCTCACAGATATAGTTATCACAGTGTTGTAAAGAATGGGTTCAACGCCCTAAAACTCGCTGCACTCCATCTGTCTCCCCAAACCCTGGGCAATAACTGATCTTTGTACTGTGTGTGATTTTGCCTCTCAAAGAATGTTGTGGAACTGAATTGCATATGTTTTCTTCTTGTTTTTCCTGGTTTGATAGTCCATTTCTCTTTACTGCTGTATTGAAATATATTTCATTGTATGCACATGTCACAGTTTGCGTTTTTCTCTTTCCCTATTGAAGGATATCTTATGACTTCCAGTTTGGGACATCTGTGAATACAGCTGCTATATACACTTGTGTGCAGGGTTATATACAAGCAAGTTTTCAACTCATTTACATTTCAGTTCAGTAACTACTGGACTATATGCTGAGACAGTGTTTGGCTTTGAAAGAAGTGCTGTTTTACAAGTGCTGTGACAGTTTTGATTCCCACCAGCCATTGTTAGCATTCCTGTTGTACCACATGTCACCAGCATTTGCTTTCCTCAGATTTGGGGGTTTTAGGCATTCAAATAGGTACAGGGGCCACTCTCCCAAGTGCTGCAGCTGGTGAGGGTTGGGGACAGCTCTCCTGCTCTTATGAACTCATGGCCAGTTCCTCCACCTGTCTCAGGTGTCAATGGGGGTGGGTGGAGGTGGGTGGAGGGCATTTCTCCTCTGCCCATGCTGCCATATGTCAGATGAGCAATGGGGACAGCTCTCCTTTGCTCAGAACCTCAGGGCTGGGTCACCCTTCCCTCCAACTACTGAACCACTCTGCTGTGCTGTGTAGGCCAGGAGCAGGGCCTGCTTTCCTAAGTGCTATATCTGGCAAGAGGGAGGGTCAGCTCTCTTGTCTGTTGCAGGTGGTAAGGGGTGAGGAGTAAGGGGGGGCATCTCTTCCCCACCCACACCCCTGCATCATAGGTGAGTCATGGGGGCTGCTCTCCCACACTTACAACTTCGGGGCTGGCTCACCTACAACTTCATCAACAGGGTTGGCTCTATTCTCTTACTCCGGTGAGATGCAGGGCCTGTTCTCCCAAGTGTTGTGAATGTGTATCTTTTATCAGATGGGTGTTGTGCAAGTATTTCCTCCCAGTTAGTAGCTTATATTTTGATTCTTCAAGCAATATCATTCACAAAGTGTAACGTGTTGAGAGATTGTCTTCTTCCTTAGGACATGTTCAGCATGCTGTGCTAGCTCTTCCTGGTTGTCAACTTGACACACCCGGGAGGAGGGACCTCAGTTGAGGAATTGCTTCTGTCATACTGGCCTATGGGCATGCCTGTGGGACATTTTCTTGGTTGCCAATTGATGGAGGAGGGCCCAACACACTGTGGGTGGTGTCACCCCTGGCCAGGTGGTCCTGGGTTCTATAAAGAAGCTAGATAAGCAAAAGCAGGAAGAAAGCCAGTAAACAGCAGTTCCTGCCTCTAGGTTCCTGCCTTGAACTCCTGCCCTGGCTTCCTTTTATGATGGATTGTGACCTGTAACCTGAAATAAACGCTTTCCTCCCCAACTTGCTTTTGGTCACGGTGTTTATAACAGTGACAGACAATAAGCTAGGGCATGTTTTTATTGCTGTTGTTATCTTTTGAGGCATGGTCTCCTGTAGCCCAGGGCGGCCTTGAACTCCTAATTCTTCTGCCTCTATCTTCCAAATTTGAGGATTATAGGCATGCTTCACCACACTGGCTTGGTGTGTATGCTTTTAAAATTGTATCTAAAAACTTGGTCATCAAACACAAGTCTACTTAGATTTTCTCCTGTTATCTTGTAGTAATTTTTTCATTTTGTGTCATGCAGTTTCATCTGTGGATCATTTGCAGTTACTCTTAGTGAAAGGTTCAAGGTCTAGGCCTAGATTTACTTATTCTTGGATAAAGCTATCCAGGTGTTGCGGTACATTGCTGAAGGCTTCTTTAGTCATTGTGGTGCTTTCCCCTTGTTACTTATCAGTAGTCTGGATATATTCTGTTACATTAACCTATTTTTCAATTCTCTCACTAATACCACTCTTGATTATCATAGCTTTATGTAAATCTCTGAGTCAGAGGTTAATAGTATAATCCACTTTCTTTGGGTAGTGCTAAGGTCTAAATCCAGGCCTGTGTCTGCTAGAGAATTGCTTTACCACTGAGCTTTATACCTAGCCCTTTAATAAATTTTAAAAATTAATAAGGATTAAGAATTTTAAGTTTTAAAGGTCATTAAGTTATTGCTGGTCCACATAGTATAGTACTAAAGACATTTTTCTTTAATACTTTCTTTATATTACATATTAAATATTAATTTTATCTTACTTTATTAAATAGTAGTACATTACTATCATTAGTCTCCCTGACTTAATTTGCATATTTTCTTTGAAAAAAAACCTGTGAATCTGTTTCACTTATAAAACATTTAAAAATATTAGTCAGTCAGGTGTGTGTTTTGTTTTTCTAATAATAATGCATAGGAAAAAGGTGCTGTCTCCTTTCCCTTGAGTATAATACAGATGGGAGTTGGGCAGTAAAATCTTTCTTGTAGGAAGTTGTCCAAATATAATCTGTTAATGGTATTTTTTTTATCTATAGATTCATTTCAGGGCAATCATAATATAGGTGGATAGATAGCTACTGGACACACACACACACACACACACACACACACACACACACACACACATCATGGTAGTTTTTACTCACAAATAATTTTGAATGAGCGTATTTAGACTTCCCTTGGGAAATGCAGGTTTCCATTATCTATCAGCTTTTTAAAGACCTACCAACAATTTGTTAGAGAAACTATACATGTAGTAGTCTTAAACATAACCCCATCAGTTCTCTCTTTCTAAAACTCCAGTAGTCTGGGGTATATTATATCAAGTTCATGCAGGTTCTGGTGGGCCTAGGGGGCATTATGAAGCATGTTAATTTGTCTTAAATATCAGTATAAACTCTTAATGAGTGGTCAGGTTGGAATTTACCCAGAAAATTATAGTTTCCTTTAACTCTGGAATATGCTTGCACTAATTGGTTACAACTTGCCAATAGCTGGGAAAAAATAACATCCTGTGATGGTACCTGTGTTGAACTGTGGAAAATTAGAAAAGGAAGCAGGTTTGGGGGATTCTTTTTTTTTTTTTTTTTTTTTTTTTTTTTTTGGTTTTTCGAGACAGGGTTTCTCTGTGTAGCTTTGCGCCTTTCCTGGGACTCACTTGGTAGCCCAGGCTGGCCTCGAACTCACAGAGATCCGCCTGGCTCTGCCTCCCAAGTGCTGGGATTAAAGGCGTGCGCCACCACCGCCCGGCCTTGTTTGGGGGATTCTTATTCCCCATGTTATTGCAGACAACTGAACATCTATGATTAGTAGTATAGACATTTTATTAAACGCATGGACTTTTAGATAATGTATGGAAAAAATGTTTGTTTTTACAGAAAACTTTGACACAAAGAAGAATGAATTAACAAGACAGGGATTTATGGACTTGCATCTGATGGAAGCCAATGATCGAGAAGGAGACCCCCTTGATCTATGGGTGACTCTGCACTCGATGGGCTACAACAAGGCTCTGGAGCTGACAGAGGTAGAGCATTCTAATGTTGACAGCAGCTTCACAAGTACCATTTCATGGCATTTGACCTTGAATGCTCCTGATCCATGGCTTTTCAATCCCGGCACTCAAATCCTGGAATTTCAGTAGTGTTAGGTGAATCCTGGGCACATGGGTGTTTCTAGTATTTTACTGAAGTTTGTGTTCTTTACTGAAAAAATAGTTACTGTCAGCTATGATGAATCAGAGTAAAACAGTTTGAACTCTGTGATGTGTAGAGGGAAATTAGTAGTTAGAATGTATATATTTTTGTTGGAACAAGGTCCAAGAATGGAGTCATGTGAGGAGAATTCTGAGTGCTTGTGAGAAAAACTCCAAGAAAACAAGAGTCTTGTGACCTCAGTTTCTTCAAAAACAGGGACTTGTTCTTGGAATGTGTTTTTGTGCCCCTCCGAGGTGTCGCAGATAGGTGTGAGCTCACTTCTGATTATTCATTATAGCTGGCTGTTATTTGTTTATGTGCCTCTATGGAAAAACATGTTCTGCCACATTCAGCTTGTCCTTGTGATCCAACACCTTACTCAAGAGATTTTTCCTAACCCTCAGAGTATAAATTGCCAGATGCTCCCCTCAGAGTATAAATTGCCATTTGCTCTAAATAAAGTTGGCTATTGCATGAGACCTTATAAGGTCCACTTGATTTGTAGGTCCCACTTTCCCAGGTTCACGCTGCCAACTTGTTTTGAATTGGAGATGTCTGTTTGAATTGCCAAAATCTTATTGATAAATAGGAAAATTTCATCTCAAGAGAAAGAGAGTTCTCTGAAAATAAGAAGGATTAAGAAGGATGTGTCTGTAGAGAGTTTGGAATGCTTGTCTTTTTATAGATGGTACTTCTTGGGTTAATGTTTATAAGACACTAGAGACAGTGACTGGCTGATCCAAAGCTCTCTGGATGTGATGTACTGGTCACCGTCCTAATGCCTGTTAACACAATAGGTACAAAGTTAAAGAATACTCTAAGTCCAGAGAAGGAGGAAAGTGAGGCCTTCTTAAATTCTGTGTCAAGCCACATATAGTAAGATATTTGGTTATACTCCTAAAGTATTAGTCATTTTCTCAGACATCAGTTAACTTCTTTTAAAATTAGTTTATGTGTTCAAGTGTTTTGATTGCATGTATGTTTGTGTACTGTGTGCCTGGCTTGTGTCCACAGAGGTCAGAAGAAGGTGTGAGATCCCTTGGCACTAAAGTTACAAATGGTTGTGAGCCACCATGTGGGTGCTGGGAAACGAATCCAGGTCCTGTGGAAGAGCAGCCAGTGCTCTTAACTGCTGCGCCATCGCCTCTTCAGCCCCCCTTCAGTCAACTTAAAAGGGCAGTACTGCTAATGACAGATTTACAGTTTAAGTACTTTGAGACTTGGACTGAATTTCTAGTCTTGATGTCATTCAGTATTCCTCAGAAGTGTGCTTTCTGAGTTTCTCTCTCTCTTTCTTCCTTCCTTCCTTCCTTCCTTCCTTCCTTCCTTCCTTCCTTCCTTCCTTTCTTTCTTTCTCTTTCTCTCTCTCTCTCTTTCTCTCTCTCTCTTTCTCTCTTCCTTCCTTCCTTCCTTCCTTCCTTCCTTCCTTTCTTTCTTTTTTTCTTTTTCTTTTTTGCCATTTTTAGTAATTGAATGTGAAGAGTTACTGTAATTTTTAAATACCCCTCTTTAACTAATATTTTGAAAATTTTATATTTTAACCATGGTTGAAAAAGCAGTTTTTGGTCTATAAACAGTACTGATTCTGCTTCACATTTTTATGTAATAGAAATTATTTAAAAACAGTAAACAACTTGAAAACACTTAAAACCATTTATTAATATTACTTACCTTTGAAACCATAGGTAAGAAAGACTTATGAGGTTAATTTTTATGACGTAAATTTTATTTATAGTATTGAATAGATAATATATTCCCATTATTTGAAATTTTAACAGGAAGGGGGCTGAGGATGGCACCCAGTTGATAAGAGTGCCTTCCTAGAACACACAAAGCCCAAAGTACAATTCCCAGCATCACATAAACTGGGCATGGGAATGTATGTCAGTTCAAGGTCATCTTCAACTACATAGCAAGTTTGAGGCTAGCCTGAGCTACAATGAGGAAAAAAACAAAAAAACAAAACAAAAATAAACAAACAAAAAATAAAATTTAACAGGAAAAAATACATACAGCAGAAAGTGTCAGAGGATGGTGTCCTCCTTTGCTTTCCACTAGCTGGGACAAAAAACCATGACCAAAAGTGACTTGGGAGGAATTGAAGCAGAGGCCATGGAGGAGTGCTGCCTACTAGCTTGCTCCCCATGGCTTGCTCAGCCTGCTTCCTTATAGAACCCAGTACCACCCAAAACTGACTGGGTCCTCCCACATCAATCATTAATCAAGAAAATGCCCCACAGACCTGCCCACAGGCCAATCTGATGAATGCATTTTCTCATTTGACTTTTCCTCTTCTGCGATAAACCTAGAGCTTATGTCAAATTGACAAAAACCTCACCAGCACAGACAAGACTACTTCTATAACTAAAATAAGAAAGATAAATCATGGTTTGTTGCTCACAAGAGAAAGACACAGTTGTTCTGCATAGATCATCATGTTTATATGTACTCGTATTATGTTTGGGGGGCATGATGCTAAGGAGCTATTTAAATGTCAATATTAAGAAATTCTTAATTGTGTTGATTGGTTGGCTCTCAGTGGTGCTCCTGTTTGTGTGAATAATGTTTCTCATTTTCTGACCTTGAAAGATGAGCAGGTGACACTGGTTGCTCTACAAAATTGAGTTGTGATGGGGATGGTTTCTCTCTCTCTCTCTCTCTCTCTCTCTCTTTCTCTCTCCCGCCTCCTCCCTCCCTGTAAATGCTGGGGTTGAACAGGGGATTTTCCTTTTCAGATGAATTGAAAAAGTTTAGTATCAGTAATGACACATGCCATTAACCATCTGATAACAATAGAATAGTCAGTTTTTCTAAAGTTTATGAGAACTTTTAAAATTGTTTCCTCTTTTGACTTATATTCAGTTGAAGCTTTACTCAACTAATGGAGACTCTTTAAAGATGTTTGTATCTGTGGAGATTTGATTTCAGCTCATGTATTGATTATGATTTTTATCCTGCTTTTATCAACAAATACTCTTAAATCATCTGTTGGAAAAGTGATCACAGAGAATCATTTTTAAAACTCTGGATGACAGGTTTTAAAGGCCTCCAAAGACTGCAGGCATGGTTGTGTATGTCTGAAATCTTAGTATCTAGAAAGCTGATGCAGGAGGCATTGAGTTTGAGGCCAACCTGGGCTGTATAGCAAACAGACCATCCTGGAATACATAGCAAGACATTGTCTCCAAAAACAAAAGGGAAAACAGCAACCACACTAACAGCCTCTAAAACCCAAGAAACTGTTATAAGAAGTGACTCAAAGACCCTCTGCAGCCATATCGCCCATGTTTTCAGGTGTGGCCAAGAAAACAAGTCCCAGTGGTGCTCTGACTTCACATCATGCAGCCTCTTAGTATGTCTTTTAATTCTACAAATATGGTTATCTGTAATGTTCATCCAGGTTCAGCCAAGTGTGAGCGTTGGTGCAGACTCTGCCTAGGTTTGTCAAAAGACAATCCAAGGCTTGTTTAATTCACTTGTTTGAATTAAAAACTCTAAACTGGTTTGCTGTGCCCTCAGCTCTTAGGCTGTGTTAGTTACCATGTCAACCAACATGAGAGAACATTTTAAAAAGTTTTTATTTTTATTTGTGTTTCTCTGTGTGCAAGTATGTGCATGTACATGCAGGGCCCACAGAGGCCAGAAGGCACTGGATTCTGTAGATCTGGAGTTACAAGTGGTTGTGAGCTGCCTAGCATGGTTGCTTGGAGTCATGGTCTTCTGGAAGAACAAGTGCTCTTAATCACAGAGCCATTTCTGCAGGCCCAAGCAAACAAGTTTTTGATTAACAGTTGGAGTGGTATAACTCCTAAAACTGGGTTCACTGTCTTCACAAGATTTTTGTTCAAAAGAGTTTATAGTTGGCTTCCTTTGTCTATGGTTTCAGTTACTTGTAATCTATTGTAGTCTCATGTATTAAATGAGAGAATTCAGAAATTCAAATATAAACTGTACATTCTTAGGTTCCATTCTGAGTCGCATGTTGAAATCTCACAAGTTCCTGCTGTCCCTGCCTAGGACAGCATTATCCTTTTGTCTAGCTTGTGTCTCAGTGTCGGGCAGACAGTTCTACCCACTGAGCCATCTTGCTGGCCAAATGAATCCTAAATGACACCATAAGCATTTGTAGTAAGTTTATTTATTTAAAATTCTACCAGAAGGCTAAACCAAGATTTTGTTTGCTTCCCCATCCAGGCATGCCCATTTGTCATCAATATCTATGCAGAAAGATGCAAGCCAAGAATTAAAGCTATCCATATGGAGGCATGCAGCGGGCAACTTGAGAGGGCCATTTGCAAGTCCGTCCTTGAGAGAAGTGATGCTAAAGTCATGGATGGCTATGAAAATATAATCGTACATACTTGCAATTATGACACCTGGATAACATCAATCATTGAAAATAAGGTATTGATCATGAGGTAGTTTTCCTTATTATGGTATAAAGTTTTCTAATAATGTTATCTTCCTTTTTACATTGCAGCCAAATATCCTACTATACTTATAATATTTATAATGGACAGTTGTTCTTTTTAGTATTTATAAATCAAACTTGGCATGACACTTTTTATATTATTTATAACGACCCAAGACTGTTGTTTTTATTTTAAAATAGGAAAATTAAAATTTGGAGATCAGTGAAGAGTCAGTATAATCTGCATACAAAATAAAGATATCATTTTTGTTTATATAAAGTATGATATTTTCAAAATCCTTGTTTAGTTTATTATATGATAAGACCACCAGAAAGTATGAAACATGTTCTCTGCTGTAGTTTTTTTGTTGTTGTTGTTTTCTTTTGTTTTTTACTCTTTAGGGGCCCACCACCCAGCTCCCAAATAAATGTATGGAGATTTATTCTTACTTATGAATGCCCAGCCTTAGCTTGGCTTATTTCTAACCAGTTTTTCTAACTTAAATTATCCCATTTCTCTTTAACCACATTTTGCCTCTGGGCTTTTTACTTTTCTTTATTCTGTATATCTTTCTTTCCTTCTTACTCCATGGCTGGCTGTGTGGTTAGGTGGCTGGCCCCTGGCATCCTCATCTCCTTCTCCTTTTCTTGTTCCTCCTTTTTTCTCAAGCCTAGATTTCTCCTCCTGTTTATTCTCTCTGCCTGGCAGCCCCACCTATTTCTCTCTTCCACCTAGCTATTGGCTGTTCAGCTCTTTATTAGACCAATCAGGTGTTTTAGACAGGCAAGTAACACAGCTTTACAGACTTAAACAAATGTAACATAAAAGAATACAACATATCTTTGCATCATTAAACAAATATTCCACAGCATAAACAAATGTAACACATCTTAAACTAATATTCCATAACACTCTGCTTTCAAGTTTATGAGCTACTTAGAAAGACAAAATTAATATTCTCAGAGAGACCAGAGGATAAGTAAACACTAAGTCATGTAGTCTGTTTGCATACACAGTAGCTTTATTCTACTTGTGTTTTTTTTTAATGGTTTAGACCCTAGAACTTGGGGACAATGTGTGATGAGGGGAAAGGGGTGTAGAGTAGGATTTTAGCTTTATCTAAGGTTTGGGTCCACTGAGAGACAACCTTCAGAAGCAAGGCAAACAGAAGAAGAAACAAAAGGGGAGGGGCAGTATGAAGGATTACTAGAAAGGTCAAAACAGTGATAGAGTGGATCCAGATCATATGTGCTATCTTGAACACTCTTTCTAGGATCTAAAACATGCTGGACAAGCAGTTGATATTAAATAAACACATGAGCCAGGTGGTGGTGGCACACACCTTAAATCCCAGCACTCGGGAGGCAGAGCCAAGCGGATCTCTGTGAGTTCGAGGCCAGCCTGGGCTACAGAGTGAGTTCCAGGAAGGGCACAAAGCTACACAGAGAAACCCTGTCTCAAAAAACAAAACAAAACAAAACAAAAAAAAAATTTAAATAAACACATATTTATTGAGTCAGTGAATAAAAGAGAACTTAATTAGATGGATGTTTTAGGCATATTAGTTGGAAGTAGGATCTGAGTGAATGGGTGATAGAAAAATAGAGATAAAAGAAAAGGAAGACATTATTGCTGTAATACGCCAAGGATGAGCTAACTTGCTGTTATACTCCACAGTGGCCTGGGAAGGAAGATGAAAGGGAAAATCCAAAACGCCTTTGAAAGAAAAGCTTGTGTCATTTAGAAAGGAATAGAGGAGGAAACACGTAGCTCTTAGCAGGAGGAAGCAGCTGCTCGTCGTATTCCTTTGCAGTGGACTGGAGTCTGTAAACAGATTTCCAGGTCTTTTCTGGGGTTTATATCTGTATTTAGTTTTCAACACTAAAGACTTACAATTTTCTCCAGTCAGATGACAGAGTGATTATTCACATCAACAATGAACTGAGTAAAAACTGTGTCAACAACAGAGGCCTCAGCGTCTTTGCGGTAGAAGTGGCCCCGAGATCTACAATGGTGAGCATTACTCTAAACCCTTTTGTCGACTCTCTATGACAAGAAATGTTTACTACTAATGCCATGAGGAAGCATGAGGCATGAAATGAAGTCAAAAGTTATTTAAGTGTGACGTTCATAGTACTAAATACCCTGTTTCTTCTACAGGATAGTTAGTGGGATTTTTGTTCATTTGTCTTTTTTGGTTTATTTTCTCATGGAATCCAGGCTGGCCTCGAACTTTATGCAGCCAAGGCTGAGTTTTAAACTCCTGATCTTCAGTCCTCCATCTCCCAAGGGCTAGGATTACAAACCATCATGTTTGGCCGGGCTTTGCTTTTAATTCAGTCCTCTCACTGTTTGGTTGAGGGACTATGGGATATTCATTTAACGTTTTTGTTCTAGCTTCTTTTAAAAATTGTTTACACTGTGTGCATGTGTGTGCATATGTGCATGCATACATGCACATTCATGCCACAAAATGCATGTCAAAGTCAGAGGACACTTGTAGGAGTTGATTATCTGCTTCTACTACGTGGGGTCCAGGATCCTATGGGCTGGAGCATTTTTATCAGCCGGGCCATCTTGTCAGCTGTGCTCCTGTTTAAAGGTAAAATTAAAATAATATCACTAGATTAGTTTGGTCCTTCACAGGATTAGTACAAAGATAAAATTAAATTATATATAAATTAATATATGTGAAAGCACTTCTGAATATCATATGGAGAAATGCCAGATACTGTGACTAATAATAGTTACTTAAAAAACCCCAATATGCTTATCCACACTATTAAGATTGTCCAAGATTACCTGAGAGGAAAAAACATCTCTAAGTTTTAGATAAGCAACTAAGTCAAGAGCCAAAAATAGCTATATAATTTTGGTTTTAGCAGACTCTGGGTTTCTGATGAGGTCACAAATTCAAAGGCAATAACGATCAGCAGACTCCTAGGGTCTGGGAAAGGAACAGAGAAAAAAGCTTACTACTGTATTTTTTACCACGCCCCCCACCCCCACCCTGTGCTTTCTGTGAAGTTCCACAGCCGTCTTGAGTGATTTAAAGGTAAAGGGCAAAGACAGCTCATTCTTGATGTTTCTCCAAGGAAGACTTGGGAAGTGGACTGCAGAGAACAAAGTACTGGCTGTGCACACTGAGAGCCCTTGTGAAAGCCGGGCATGGTGGGCATAGCATGTAACACCAGTTCTCGGGAGAGAGCCGGGCATGGTGGGCACAGCGTGTAACACCAGTTCTCGGGAGAGAAATAGGCCAGATCATGGGCCAGATAGACTAGCAGTGGTCCTCAACCTGTGGGTCGCAACCCTTTCATAGGGAACGCATATCAGATATCCTGCATATCATATATTTACATTATGATTCATAGCACAATTACAGTTATGAAGTAGCAATGAAATAATGTTATGGTTGGGGGTCACCACAACATGAGGAACTGTATTAAACGGTCGCAGCATTAGGAAGTACGAGAAACACTGGCTAGCATGATCAGCAGGGGGCAGATTCCCATAAGAGATCTTGTCTCAAAACCTAAGGTGGATAGTGTTTTAGGAATGACAGTTGAGCTTGACCTCTGGCCTCCAGATGTGTACATGCACACATGTACACACACATACACACATGCTCATGCACAAACCCACAGTGTTAGACATTGTTCTAGGCTTGGTGGAGAAAGGCTATTTACCTCCCACTGCCCTTCTTCACCCCGATTACACACAGTAAAACTACTCTCATAGACTAGGACTCTGGATTCTCCTGTCAGTCCTCGGGTCATAAACGACCCGTCCATGCCAGGGAAAGAACAGAATTCCATCTGCACACAGCTTCTTCCCTCTCTTTTCCCTCTTGGTATTTGAGACTGGGTCTCATTGTGTAGCCCAGGCTAGCCTCAAACTTGGAGTCCTCCAGACTTAGCCTCCTGAGGTTACACCAATAGGCAGTGTACTGTCACAGCTGTCTTTTTTTAACTGTAGCAATCACCCTTTTATTAGCTGTATATTTCATGTTGTCCAGATCTTTTACGCTCAAGTGATCCTCCTGCTTAAGTCTCCCAAGCACTCACATTCATGAACATTCATGACACATGGTATGTGCCCTGGCCCTGGTTTCACAGGGACTTTTGTTTCTTCTTTTTTGAGACAGAATCTCTTTGGGGAGCCCTGGCTGGCCTTGAACTTGCTGTGCAGACCGGATTGCCCTTGAACTCACAGAGATCTGCCTGTCTCTGCCTCTTGAATGCTCGGCTTAAAGGCATCTCCACGACACCTAGCTTCACGGATACATTTTTTTTTTATTTTACTAGGCCTAGAAATGTTGAAAATTAGCAAATAACAATAATTTATCAAATAAAAATAAAAGCTTTATTTTTATTTGCAGGTTTGTCAACATGTAATGCCCCTGAATGAACGACAAGAATGGATATATTATTGTGTGTATTCCCTTGTATCTTAAATAATTCCATGTGGAACTATCAAACTAAGAAGTATTTTAGATCAAATCTGTTATTTATTAACTAAATGCTCTTCCATGTAACTGGTATACTTAATAATCTGTTTCATTTCTATGCATTTATATTTTATGTCCATGTTATATATTTTATTATTAAAATACAAATAGTCTTCTAAAAATGTATGACTGTCTTGTTAATTTAGTGAGAAATATAAGAACTTTTTTGTTTTTTAATAAATGAAAAGAAAATTATAAATGGGATTTTTAAAAGTAGTGTTCAATGACTTCCAAACTCTACACTTCTGGTTTGTCTTGTAAAATACTAAAAGATGATACAAACACAAAGATAGCCATTGAAGGATCTAACTATTCAAAAGCTAAAGTGGGATGGAAGAAACCTGTTTCTGTTTTAAGAAGCTAAAACCTGTTAGCAATTGCACGATGTTCTGTCCCAACAGCAAATTTCTCACTAGTGTGTCTCTAGCTTTCTTTTCACAGAGGATACTTGGAACAGTTGAAATTAACCCTGTGGAGCAGTTAAGGAGGTAGTATGTGGCATAAAAAATGGCATCAAGCAATTAAAAGCTATATATCAGTCCCAGTAACAAAGTACTTGGCCAGTGTCAGCTTTTGGAATATGAGTAGTATCTGGCAGAAGCTTTTTTTTTTTGCCTACTATATGCATGCACATAGTTTAAATGTTATTTGGAGTTTGGACTATTCATTTAGATCTGTAAATAGGTTGTCATTACCTCACTGTTTGATCTCTTCAGACGGATGTCTCATTAAAGGTAGTGAAATATACAATTACTTTGTTCATTGTCAAATGATTTATAAGTTCAACATCTGTGGCCGTATATCTCATTTCACCTCATAGTGAGTTACAGAAAATGTTATGTGGTGCTAAAAACATATAACAAAGTTTTTATATTTGCCCACAGTAGTTTAGGGGTTTTATAATCAGGTGATGGGTTTCATGAAGTATTATCTTGGGAACATGGAGACTCAAGGAAAAAACCACGGAGCCCTGGAGCTGCACTCACCAACCAGCATGGGCACGACTTGGCTACACAAAACCCTCTGTCAGCTCCTGGAGCTTTGGCAGCTGGGGCAGGGCTCACTATATTAGAAGTCCCATCTCAGTGGAAGGCAAATTATTGTAAGTTAAACTTTTTCCTTCTAACTTTAACCTTCCTCAGTTTTAATATTTTAAAACTAATGTGTTAGGTTTCAGATACTACCATAAAAACTTCTTAAATTACACTGATTTTCTATTGGATCTTGACATAGACAAGATTTTTTTTTAAGCTAGGGGCCTTCTCATATCTATTTTTGTGTAGGTTAAATATGCAGCAGAAACTTAATCATATCTTGGGTATGAACCAGGAAAATAGAACTGTATTTCTGATTTTGGCCGCTAGGGGGAGTGCCTATTAGATGGGGGTGAGAGTTTTCAGCACTGTTAAGCTCTTTAGGACTAACAAGGCTGCTTCGGTGAACTATGTTGGACTTTAAGGCTGTCTGCATACCCATGTTATGTACTCTTTCTCAATGGAAAATGTATAAAAGCTGTTCCTGCTTTATAAAATGAATACTAAGTCTCCTCCTCCTCCTAAAAAGTACTGACTTGCAGTTCTTTCTGACTATAATTATTAGGGTGTGTATATGGCCCTGCTAGATTTATATACTGTAAATTTTCTATCATTGTTGTACAGTCTGCTTAATTTCTAAGGGAAAGCAGGAACTACATCATGACTTGAGGAAAATAAAGTAAATGATAGAACTCATTTAAAGGAAATAGGTAAGATTCATGTGGAGAGAATTTAAGGACCAAGAAGTAGCAATAGTTGGTCAGTCTAGGGGAACAAGCTTTGGCCTGGTTTGACACATTTTTGTTTGCTAACTGTAGGTATTCCATCTAAAGAAATCAAGAGCAGGTAGACTTCACTCTTACAAGGTGCCTTTATTTGTAACCAAAGTCATTGTGTACTTTAAAAATAGCTACTCTGGGATGGGCTGTAGCTTAGTGCTTGCTCAGTGTGCATGGGCCTGGCTTTGACCTCCAGAACCAAGAGGCGACAGGGAAGGGAGGATTTCTTCTTTACACATTTCTCAAACTAAGAGTATTAAAGATAACATCATAAAAGACCTAGAATATCATTCTATTCTTCAAAAGTTAATATTTCCCATTTCTTTTAGCTATAATATTTTATAAATCCTTATTTGCCTTTATAACCAAGGACAAGATCCACCAAATTAAAGCGAAGGCCAGGTGAAATGTAATCTTCTAATTGAGACTTAATAAGGTAAAGTCAATAGTGCTCCACTCACCTCCCTGCTTTCTGTGGCATCTTTCTGCAAATGTTATCATTCTAAATTAGCCCTTCTCAACTATTCTTCCAGACTGTGACCATGATTCTAAAGACCCTTAGTGGGTGTTAGGAATGGGGAGTTGGCTTCAGAATGGATGGTGAAAATAGACATAAGCAATGTACCTTTTATTAGTACATGAATTCTATTGGTATTGAATTCTATATTTCCATCTCATATCCAGGAAAATCTAGATTTCTCAAAGATAAATACAGAAGGATTTCTTAACTTTTAAATTTTAGCTTTCAGGTTTTCTTCATTTAGGTTAAATGGTTTGGATGTAGGCAAGTCTGTAGGGCATTTTCTTGATTAATGACTGATGTGAGAGGGTCCAGATCACTTGGGAATGATGGTGGTATAAGAAAGCAGGCTGAGCAAGCCAAGGAAATAAAGTCAGTAAGCAGCACTCCTCCATCATCTCTGTTCTAGTTCCTGTTTCCTGGTTCCTGCCTTGAGTTCTTGTCTTCACTTGCTTTTAGTGATGGAGTATTACCTGGAAATATAAGATGCAGTAAACCCTTTCTGACCCAGGTTGCTTTGGTCATTGTGTTTTATCACAGTAATAGAAACCCTAACTAGGACAGGACTCTCCTCTGAGATCCTGACATTCCCTTCTGCACTTGATAAAATACATAGAGGGTGGAAGGTTAGTTAAGCAGAGTATTTCATCTGTGTAGCTATGATGAAGTTATCATTCATGTTGAGACAAGACTTTTTGGTTGAGGCTGTTTGAGGGGGCCCCTATGTTCCTGTAAGTAGCTCCTTACCTAGGCTCTGCAAATAAGCTCCAAAACTCATTTGCTTCTTTTTTATTACATGTTGGTGTGTCGCAGGCACCCTATCTGGGGTAAGTAGGGCCTTGTTTAAGTCTCCCCAAGAAAAGTTCATGCAACACACCTGAAAAGCCAGGAGGACAAGCTGTAACTTTAAATGACCTTGAAGGGATAGGGAAGCTTTATAAAGGGCAGGCAATAGAAGTCTAACATTCTTCTTTCTCATTTTTCATTTTCCCTAGAGTTCTGTTATTGTACCTGACTATTGATATAATATGCAATAAGTCAATTAATCTTGTATTTATTGGGTATCTAATATGTTCAGAGCACTTCTTTAGATACTGCTTATGCAGAGGTGAGCAAGTCAGATATTATTTCTGCCCTCCTTTCACATAGCCTATCAGAGAAGATAGATCGAGAACAAGTATTACAGGCGGTACCTCTCACATACATTTTTAAATGCCTCATTTTTCACGAAACCTCAGCCCTTTTCTCAGCCTAGGAGAATGTGTTCCCTATCTTGAGCTTCTATTTTAATAACTTTCTTTTCCTGTAGGGTTTTTATTTCAGATTTTTAAATATTACATTTTATTTAGTTGGGAGAGAGAGAGAGAGAGAGCCCACATGTTGAGATCATGGGACTACTTTTGGGAGTCATTTCTCTCCTATCATGTGGGTCTTAGATTGAACTTGGGTCATCGGGCTTGGCAGCAAATACCTTTATATCTTGTTGGCCCTATTTCAGATTTTTAAAAATTGTTCTACCATAACTTTCAAACTGAAGGACTAAAGTTTCATGAAAATGAAGCAGAGAGATAGATAGATACAAAATTGATTGTTTAATGATATTTTATTATCTAGTTGTACCACAAATTGTTTACTCCGTTAACTGCTGTTTTTTCCAGTGTTTTTTAAACCATCAGTGGAGGTGCTGTAAGCATGCCTGTGAGGTTTTTATGTAAACACAGGTCTTCGTTTCTCATAGATACCTAAAGATGAGGTTGCTAGGTCACATGGTGAATGCACTGCTTTTATATCCGTTTGTTTTGTTGCTGTAGCTCATATTTCAAGCACTATATTGAACAGACATGGAGAGAGAGAATATTTTTGCCTTGTTTAGCAGAAATGCTGAGTTTTTCTCTGTTTATCAGGATGCTGGCTGTGGCCTTGTTGTGTACTGACTTTGTTATATTAGGTATATTCCCTCCATCCCTCCATCTCTAGTCTCTCCAAGAGTGTATTATGAAGGGGTGTTAGATTTTGTCAAAGGCCTTTCTGCATCTAGTGAGATTATTAAATGCCTTCTGTCTATTAAATGCCTTGAGTCTATTCATGTTTTTACAGACACTGAACTATTCCTGCACTTTGGGATGAAGCTGACTTGAATGTTGTGGGTGATATCTTTTTTGATGTATTCTTAAATTTAGTTTCCAAGTATTTTATTGAGATTTTCTGCATCTATGTTCACAGGTAGATTATTTTCTTTGTGTGTGTGTATTATCTGATTTAGATCAGTGTGTCATAGAACTCCTAAAAAGAGTTTGAAAGCATTCTTCCCTTTTCTACCTGATGAAATAGTTTGAGAAGCATCTATTTTAACCTTTGAAGGTATGGTCAAATTCTGTGGGGAGGCCAGCAGGTACTAGGCCTTCTTAAGGGGGGACTTCTTATTGCTGTTTCAGTCGTGTTGCAATGATTAACCTGTTTTTAAAAATTAATCTTTTTTTTTTTTTTGCTTAACTTTGATAAGTCATGTGCATTAAGAAATTTATCCATGGTCTCACCAGTTAAGATGACTCATCAGGTAAGAGTACTGGTGCTCTTGCAGAGGACCTAGGTTGAGTTCCCAGCACCCACATGGCAGCTGAAAAGCATCTGTAGCTCCAGGTTGAGGGACTCCACAGCCTCTCCTGGCCTCCTCAGACACTAGTGCATACCATGGTGCTCATATATATATGCAGGCAAAACACTCACACACATAAAATAAAAATACTTTAAAAAAAGAATGAAATTTATCCATTTCTTTTAGGTTTTCTAATATTTTAGACTATAGATTTTTAAGTTTTCCCATACAGTCCTCTTGATTTCACTGGTATCTGTTGTAATGTCTCTCTTTTATCTCCAATTTTATAAACTTTTGTTTTCTCCATAGCTCTTTGGGTTAATTTGGTAAAAGTTTGTCAGCTGTATTAATCTTTTCAAAGAACTAACATCATGCCATTGACTCTACTATTTTTTAAATATCTATTTCATAGTTTTCTCGTCTGATCTTGATTAATTCTGTCTACTTTTGAGTATTGTTCAAAAGTTCTTGTTTTTCCAAGGTCTTAAGACACATTTATTTGGGTTCTCTCTGATCCTTTGATGTGGGAACTTAAGAGCTATAAACTTTCCTCTTAGGACTGCTACCTTCATTGAATCCCGTAGACTTTGGCATGGTTGTGCTTTAATCTTCATTCAATTCTAGAAATTTGTAAGTTTTCATTTTTCTTTTTTTACTTCTTCGGTGATCCACTCACCTTTCAATACTGTATTAGTCAATCTCCATAAGTAACATCATGTGTATTTTCTATGGTTTCTATTGCTGTTGATAATCTGGCTTTATTCCATCATGGCCAAATAAAATACAAGGAGTTATTTCAATTTTCCTGATTTATTGAGACA